AGTGTGCTGAGTGTTTCTTCTAGGCAATGAACAGACGGTGACACTGTAGCAATTACACATGTTTTTGTTTTTCCTCCCAAAGAGTCTCTCAATAATCTTGTCAACTTGCTTTCTCTGAAATTTAAATGCGTATAATCGTATGATTAGAAACCTATAGGTTATGTATCAAATCTTTCAGACAGAGATCTTTGAACGCAAATGATGTTTCTTTTACCTGTATGGAATATGACCAGAGTGTTCAACCAAAGCATTAATGACACGTCCGAGTGTGAGCAAACTTTTGTTGATCTCACCAGCTTCCCTGGCTCTACCCTGCAATATAGTGATCTCATATCTGTTAGTAAAATCATCGAGGTAAGACACTATTATACTATCAATAATAAAATCATGGTTCTTTGCTGTTGGATCTATTATATGTTATGTGTACCTCTCGAGCACCAGACCGTGAAATATTCTCTGAACCGGCAAGATCAACTAGATTTAGCTTTCCACTTTTGACGATCTCTTCCCCCTCTGGAGTACATTCCTTAATATGGATTGTAACCGAAAATATTGAATGAGATCTACTACTTTGTTTGTTGAGAAGAGTCTCTGCTGTGCGTCTCTTGGCTGACCCTTTCTCCAAGACTTTATAAATCTCATCAGCAGTACACACTATTTCTTCCTCCAAACCTCGCACAAAAACACCACCTTTGCCATCTTCCATAAGGGCCAGAGGTTTCTTTGATTTATCATCTGTAAATTTTGTTTCTTCCGGAGCTAAAAGATCTGTTAGTTCTTCGTTGTAGAGCTCAAGAAACGAAACTTTCAAACTGTATTCAGCAGCACTTTGTGCTTCCAGTATATCAAATATCTGCTTAACTGCTCTAGGGATAACACCTGCATCACTTGGAATTTCACCGTTCTGGGAACAAAAGAAAAAGGTTCCATCAATGAGGATTCAATACCATATCAGTGAAAATACTTCAAACATGATGTTCTTGAACAGGTTAAGGTACCTTTTTTCTTGCTCCTCCTTCCATTGTGTATGTCTTACCAGTTCCTGTTTGCCCATATGCAAAGATGGTGCAGTTATACCCATCAAGAACCTCAAAAACAATGGGAGAAACTGCTTGATGATACAGGTCCTTTTGTTGGGATGTTGGCCCAAAAACCTAACAAATTTTACAAATTGGTAAGCATGATACTTTCTTTCAGAAACTTATCATTATGCACACTATTTAAAGAGCCTCTAAATGAGAAGAACTAAACCTTGTCAAACAAAAACGTTTTATCAATCTGCTTCCCAGCTATATTCTGTGCAACCGCCACTTCCTTTTTCCGGTCATTGCAGGTAAGTACAGCAGGTGTTTGTAACCTCGTCTCCTCCGAATTAAACGGTCTGCAAGAAATGGAGATTAGTATATTGAGACAACAACATCAACAAGCTTGTTTACCATCCAGCAAAAAAGGAATTATCAGAAGTACCTGCAACGAACGATGACTTGTATATTCACACCCTTCTCTTTCTCATTCTTGCTAACTGGATTCGAGTTTGAGTTTGAGTCAACCACTCGAAAATCTCGATTTGACTTCTCAGTCGAACGTGGAGTTTGACATGGAGATTTCGCCGAACTCACTCTTTTCGAATTGTTAGAATCCATCTCTTCTTCCCTCCTTTCTTAAAATAGCTCCGTAAGAACACAAAAACTTATGTAATCTCTGCATCAACAGAGAAAACAAATCTCTATCAATCACCATAGTAATTCAAACAAAACGATCCACACACACACACACACACACACACACACACACAAAGCTTAAATCGCAGATCAATACAACTCAACCTCATCAAAAACATCAAAATCGAATCCACAAATTTCTAAACGATTCAACGAATCACGCCCTACGAATCCGTAATCTCAAATTAATCCAAATTCCAACCTTAAAATCATGGATAAACCTCGAAAACTACGATTAGAGAATCAGAAATGGAAGATTCAAAACTCAAAACTCATCACGAAAATGTCATGAGGATGAGCGAAGAATGTACCGATCGAGGAGTTTTTAGATTCCGATTCCTTGAAGCAATCTCACGATTTCAAACACGAATTCGAAATTTGAATTCTTCTCAGGCGATTTTCTCCGATGAAGAAGAGAGATGAATGAATGAAATGAAAAAAAATATAAAGGAGAGACGCTTCTGAGTTCTGAGAAACAAAAAAAAAAGGTTAAATTAGAGAACGAAGAGCTAAAATATGAAATTTTTTGGGGAGGATTAAAAATTAAATAAAAATGAATGAGCCGTTACGGTAGGCGTTGGAGTTTGACTTGTTAGACGCTTGATGGAGTTTAACGGCGTTAAATATTGAACCGTTATGTTGTAAAATCCGTGATCCGACCGTTGTGAAAAAGGACAACACGCAAATAAAGAAGAGGTGATTTGAAAACTTTCGAATTTTTATCTTATTTCTGTAAAAAGTTTTTGTTTTATTACTCCCTTAATTCTTCTTATAATATGTGATTTGCCCATAATGATATATACTAATTAAACAACAGTATTTAAATTTTAATTTCTTAAAATTAAATTTTGTTTTATCTTGATATTATTATTTCTTAGAATTAAATTATATTTTATTTTGATATAATTATTTCTTAGAATTAATTTCTAGAAGTTTAATCATTTAATTTCTCTTAATTTTGAAACCTATTGTAAAAATAATCTAGAGTTGTACATTGGGAACTTTTGGAGTCGATTTAACAAAGAAAATAATATATAGTTTAAAAAGAAGTACATACCTATATTAATATTACTATGATTGTTACTCAATTCGAGAAATTGGTATATGTCAAGTGAATAAAAACATGGACTCACGTCGAGGGAATAAAGAACACTCACATGTACGTATATGTGAAAGCAGACACGTGAGATGACTTGGTGTTCGAATCTTTAAACAATGTCATGTTTTAATATTATGGCTTGTATTTAATGAAAGACAAATAAAATACAATTTTTTGTCCAATAAGACCACCCCAAATTACATAGTTACGTATGTTAGCATTGGTCTGTGCTCTTTTGTCCAACTGTTTTAACAAAAAAAAAAAAAAAAAAAACTTAGCCTGTAAAGCTTTTTCCTGATGACAAAAAAAAAAAAAAGCTTAGCCAGTAAATATCAAAACATAAATTGCTTTTAACTAAATTCTCTCATGACATTTAAAAAACCATAACCTAATTCACTCACAGTAAATTCCCATTTTTCATTTCAGTTTCGATGTTTTTAGATTATACTAATATCCTCAAAATCATTATGGCAAGATTTTAAAATCCAAACTAAGTTAATCATGGCGAGTTTAAAGAAGAAGGTAATCAACCTAGCCCTTTGATATAAGTAAAATCTTCCAAAAATACGAATTTTGTGTGTTTGATATGTTGTGGTGTCTTTGGACAACCTTATATAAAATTGGTAAGCATTGACATCTTTGTTTTGAAATGCATTGTATAATTTCTTATATTTATCTATAAAAATGGTATTAAATTTAGCACATGTGTACAAAAGATGTTATAATACAATAGAGAGATCATGGTGCATTGGAATAAGTAAGATGCTAATACATAATTTTTATACTTTACATGTAAAGATAAATTGCATTGTAATAATAAGATTCGTTCCGAAACCGAGTAGCTAATCACTTGTTAGTATCTATAAAACATCTTAGACTTTAGTTGTCCATAAACATCATTTTGCAACTTAATTCATTCAAGAAACAAACATATATCGACATCGAAAGATACAAATTTGATAATAGAAATCAAATATTGATTGGAAAAAATTAACAAATATTGATTTCAGCATAATATGTTCCAGCAGCTCCCATAGAGTACAAGATTTTACTATATCTCACAAATATTGTATAATTCAAATAACACTCTGAATTATGGTGGAAAGACCATGGCAAGTTCCTTTGAAAATAGATTTGCTAATAACTTCTAAGTTTTTATATAATATCTCAGATTATATGTGTCATAAAAGTGACGTAAAAAAACTGGTCAAAATATTACAAATGTACAAATATATCACAATACATTTGACATATTTTGATGCACTATAATTTGTGAGATAGCTTTACTACATTTAGTATATCATAAAATTTTATCCATAGTAAACAATATATATATATATATATATATATTGAGAGAGAGAGAGAAAAACACAAAGGGTAACCGCTGGTTCTTCTTCTTTCCGGTGAAGCCGTAAAGGGTAGCCGTTGGCAATGTGTTTACAAATAATTAAATATAAAATGTCTGATTTTGTCAACATCAGTTTTACTTTTCTTTTGTGAAAATGGTGAAAAACAAAAAGAGATCTTCAAAAAAATACATATACTGTAATTAAGATAAAAATGATCTTATTTCCCACTCTACTTTTTCGAAATAAAAATACAATATTTTCTATAAAACAATCTAGTGAACTTTGTATGTTATGTGCTATAAAGATTTGAACAATTGTATTTTCACCTAGTACAAAAGTTGTATTTTCACCTAGAAGAATAAGTTTTTCCCTGGTAATCCAGATATTCAATCTATAATTAACCGTTTCAGAAATTATACACATTTTACTCTCCCTAACATGTACAATTAACAATGGTTTGAAGATCCAAGGTCTCAATAACATACTCACACCCACGTAATGCAAAACTATAGTCTTAATTAACCTAATCTATCAGTCTAATGGCAAAAAATTCAGCATTATTGGCCAAGGAACCTTTAACAGGCTTTAACAGGCCCAGTTCTATGTAACCCATTTGTATCTATAGGTTTGACTATTCCTATACCATCCACGTCAATAAAACGACGTTACTCACCTCAGTAGATCAAAGCATGTAGTGATATATATAAGGTAGTTGGTGATGTAACAGTTAGTTGAATGAACGTTAGGTTTAATACCTAAGTTTCAAAATTTTCCCGGGAGACAAAAAGATTCATCAAAACACAAAAGCAGAGAAAGAGAAAGAGAGAGAGAGAGAGAGATCAATGGGAACATGAAGGAGGAAGAGGAGAGAGTTGGTTCATCTTCATCTTCTTCGTCTTCTCTTCCCGTTAGCTATGGAGTTGACTATGAAAAATACGAGTTCTCTTCATCAGTGTCTTCTCTGTCTCGACCGTTTTCTCCTGAAAGTTCAAGTAACAAGAGTGTTGTTCTTGAAAACAATCTTTCCACTGTCTTCTCTTTGGACCATAACAACAACAACACCATCCTGATGTTTACTAGAGATAGACCATGTTCTTGTCTCCACCATGTGTAAGCAAGCCCTTATCTCTCTTCACTTCTGTTTTGTTCTTCAGATTTTAATTTCTTGGCTTCTTGCAGCTTAGAGTGGATTCTACAGAGATGTTGTGGTTGCCTCTGTTAGTCTTCCTTCTTCCTATTTCGGACTTAAACCATTGTATCTTGTGGCCGGTCCAATAACACAAGGTCTACAAATTAGCTTTTAACATTACATTTGTGATCATTTCTAGACTTTTGTCTCTTTTTGTTTTCTTTTAAGGACGTACGCAATATATAATGATTTAGGTCTTTATTATCTAATGATTATAGCCTTAATGATCTAATCAAAATATAATAATAACCAAGAAATAAATTGCAACATGTCTTTACACGAATGGAGAGCTCACCAAAAGTTAATCATCACATCTAGCACATCTCTTCACAATGTTGCAAAGTGCATAATTTAGCATTAATGATATATCTAATCAAAATATAATAATAACCAAGAAATAAATTGCAACATGTCTTTACACCAATGGAGAGCTCACCAAAGTTAATCATCACATGTTGCACATCTCTTCACAATGTTGCAAAGTGCATAACCATAATTGAAAGTGATCTCTAGTATAGTATTTAACATTCGATTTCTTTGGATATAGCCGACATGTACACTGAGCAAGCTATTTACACTCGTGTATATATATATCATCCCACCAACAAGCATTGCAAGCTAGCAAAGAGGTCCTACGACCCCTTGATGTACTCCTTCCCAAGAATTTAATTTTATTTCCTGCATTTTATGATACAAATTGGGTTGTATGACAATGATGTTATCATTTCCACAAATGTGTATATCATTTACGTAAGTGGACATGTGATTTCTTACTCATCCGAGATGTATACTAACTAAGGAGCAAATGCGACGTTTTAAAATTTCATTGGCTATTGTTTACTAAGAAAATGTTGATTCCTCGGATTTATATGCCAATCAAGAATTAAGCATATTGCATGGTATCAATCTTAATCTTTTTCGCATGCAATCCTCTATGTTTCATTATAAGTGATGTTTTAGCCATTTTTTTTTGTTTCATTATAAGTGATGTTTTCAATTTTCTATGCAAAAATTTAATGTATTTAATATTTTTTGACCAATTATATTTTACATCATATTTTCTTATTGGTTTAATTCATATTAGTTAATGATGTTTTTATGTAAAATGGGTAAGTTATATGTTTTATTATTTAGTGTGACAAAACTTTAAACATCACTTATGTTGAAACAGAGGGAGTATATATCATCAGGTTTTGTAAATTTGTTATACTATTTAGATCAAGAGAACACAAACATTGTATTATTATCATCATCATATTGTTAAACTAACCTCATGGTAACGTTGCATTAGTTATAAAAGATATAAAAACAAAAGTTATACATTCGAACTTGTATGTATCTATTAAAAAGGAAGGTGCATGGAGAAAGGAGAAAGAGAGAGTCATGTTGTTGTGTTGGTCACTCAATGAATGATACAAATCCCAATTTTTATTGACAATGCAAGTTCATATTAAGAGGATCCAACGATACCTATTAGTGCCACCACACTGTGAAATCGAAATGAGAGTGTGAAGACATAAATGTTTCATCTGTTTTTTGAGTGGCTAAATTAAATAACAAAGTTTTTTTTTTCTACTGTCACTTACCTGTCCTTATTTATTACCTTTTCTAGTTTTTTTTTTTTTCGTCCCCCAAATTGTTTATTTAATTTCGATCTAAAATCATAACTCGAATATTGTGAAACTATTATTTGTGTAACACGAGTCTTCGACCACTCTTTCTAATTTAATTCCCGTGTTTTAATCCGACAAATAAGGGTTTTCATTTCTCGTTGGACACAAATGTGTTTTGTTTTACCCATTCAAACCAATGTGTTTTAAACTTTTAATGCAAATTATGATTATATATTAATTCTGAATGCAAGAAAATAATGGAATTGTATTGAATGAGACACAGAGAATAGAGATTCTTGGTCTATAAAGTAAATGGCAGAACCTGTAACCAAATTTAGTATTTAACCAGAAAATATTAGATTATTAACGACAAAAGTAATGGTAAAAGTGATATAATTGTTAGAAATAGTGATACAAGTATAGAAAACACCGTTTTCAAAAAAAATCAAAAATAGAAAACATTTACACTTTTACTATATTTATATTTTGCTTTGTAATAATATTTTTTTTTGGTCAAGATTTTGCTTTGTAATTTATACCCATTCAAATAACCCTTAAACGTTATACTTTTTACTATATAGTTAATATAACCAATAAAACACCTCATAATAGTTTTATTCTTTTTTTCTTTTTTTATTTATTATGCCATTACAACGGTAACAATTTTTCTACAACAGTATCAACTATGCTTAATCAATCCAACCTAATAACCTAATTATAACATTATTGTAATACATGTCTTTGTTGTCATTAGCTCTGGATTAATATAGGTTGTCCGCGAATATTGGTATTCACATTTTTTCTTTGAAAAAATGATATCCGGTTAAACGGATACGAATAGTAAAATCACATATACAATGAATACATACTGATATGGATAATGCTAGATTTTAAAACAGATAACGGATATTCGTATTTTTTACTACCGAATGTCCGGTATTTTAGTACAAATCTATGATATTTAGGTACATATATTCAAAATTCAGTATAATTTTTTTTTCATGTTTCTGGATATTCACAGGTTGTCAACATTTTGTCGAAAAAATTCGGATACGGATAAAAATATTAAATTCACCGATAATAATACCGATATCCGCTCCACTAGCGGGGTTAGTCATGAGTATACTTTTATTAAGCTTACATAATTTTTCTCTTTTGATAAAGAAGTTTACATAATCAAATACCAAATTTTAACAAAATATATTGTTATTAATAGGGACATTGTTGTCATTTTATATGGAGACAAAGGGGGCCTAGAATCTGGTAATGAAATCAAATGCCCATTGAATGTTTGCCAACCAAACAGATTTCTTTTTTCTCTCTTCGTTTTAACCATTTTTTGTTTTCAAGAAAACAAAAAATGTTGAGAAGAAAAATTTGTTCTGAGACGTAAATGTGAATGTGATTTTAGATAAACTACGAAACATCGATTAAGACATGTTCAGAATCTGAACATTACAATTCGAAAGTCCACTGCAGACTCTTTATTTACCAACTTTTGACAATTCAGTGACATATAATTTAGTCCTTCGAAGTTCTTGAATTTTTTTTACAATCTTTAAATATTGTTTTGAAAGGACTATATAATAAGCATGATGAAGATGTACCGTAACAAGTAGGCTTTGAGTAAATGCGAAACAATAGTACAAAGTAAAGTAAAAAAATGAATATTACAAAAATATTAAAAATGATGATAACAACATTTAAACATACAAGAAAAAAAAAAGATAACAGCAGCAAATAAACCAATAGGATGGGAAATTAGTAAAATTCGCATCGTATTGGATTGTGCATGCCCCCCTAAATTATTTCAAAGTATGTAATTAACAAATTATAACACTCAAAAAAAAAAATCATATAAAAAAAATACAAAACTAAATCGAAGTTTTCTTTTACATTCTTGAAAACGTAAAATTTTTAACTAAGAAAAACAAAGAAGAAATTTTTAAGAAAGGAGAGAATATAATTGTGTCACCTTTGTGTTTTGCGTTTGCGTTTGCGTAAACGTTTTACATGAAAGCGTTAGGGACCTTGAAAGTATCAGGATCTTCATCTTGAATCCAACCAAACTTCTCCATGTAAGGATTCACAATCGATTTTGGTGGATAATCATCAATGCAATGATTCCACACGTTTCCTTTCGATTCCCCAACCGTTAGATCTCTTACAACTTCCCAAACGCAGCTGTTACACTTGAAACCAGCTCCAAAGCTTATCATAAACACTCTGTCTCCTCTCTTGAGTCTCTTCTTAGCTTCCATGTAAGCCAACACATACCACAAGCTACTAGCTGAAGTATTACCGAACCGGTGAAGAGTCATCCTCGCCGGTTCGATATCATACTCGTTCAAATCCAAGCTATGTCCAATCCCATCAATCACAGCTTTGCCTCCGGTGTGAATGCAAAAATGTTCAATCCCGGTCTTGAAGTTGATCCCTGCCTTTAATGGAGTACCTGATGGGAGATTCGTGGAGCCTTTGCTAGGGTTTTGACGAATCTTGATTTTCTTGATGAGAAGCTTTATCATGAACCTCAAGAGCTCGGTCACGGGAAGAATCTTGGGTGTTATAATCTTGAGATTGTCTACGAAAGCACGAGTTGCGGCTTTTGGTAGGTTCTTTCCTAAGTAAAACCCTACACGACCTTGTTCATCTTCGGATTGGATACAGCAGTTGTAAGACTCATCTCTAGCTCCATGGTGAGTCCGTACCATACACTTGAGCTTAAACATTGCTTTCTTTCTCAAGCTACGTTTGTTAGTCAAGAGAATAGCACAACCACCGGATCTGAACAAGCAGTTGGCTAAGATCATCGAACGGTTGTTTCCGCTATACCAATTAGGGCTCAAAGACTCGGAGGTAGCAACAAGAGCTAACTTGTTTGAGTAGCTCTTGAAAATGTTCTTGACAATGTCTACGGAGATTAGACTCGCGCTACACCCCATCCCGGTCAAGTTAAAGACTTTGACATCTTCCCTCATCTTGTAATGGTTTATGATTCTTGAAGCTAAAGAAGGTGTTGAAGAGAGCATGGAGACATTGACTACGAGGATGTCAATGTCTTGAGGGGAGATTTGGTTTCTCTCAAGGACTTTTCCGATGCTGTCTATGTAGAACTCTTCCATCTCAGAGATCCCATCTTGTAAAGAAGGACGCTCTTCTCGACCTTCAAAGACAAGTCTTGGAGCATAGGTTTGTTCTCCTATCCCTGAACTTACAATGGCTTTGAGAAGGAACTTGTACTCGGTTAAACCAAGGTTTTGGTTTCGATAAATGATTTCTCCACTGAAATGAGTGGTCACCATTCGATCATCAGATGGTTTATGACATTGGTAGTCTAAGATGTAGCAATCTTTATCTTGCTTTGAGTCTATGAGTTTCCAGATCTTGAAGAAAAGGTAACAGAGGAGAGGAGAGAACAAGAGAAAAACAAGATCCATAACTATTCTTTTTTTTTTTTTTTTTGGTTTTTGGTATTTTTCTTTGTTTTTGGAATTAAGAAGAAGAGATGATGAAGTGAGTAAGATGCATGAAAATGGAGTGGAGACTGTAAAGGGGATTATATAAGAGAATGAATATGCAAATGGATGAGGAAACGACAGCTCTGAATTTTCCAGTGGGGTTCTCCATCACCTTTGTTTTTTTTTTTATATAGAAAATTTTAATAGTATTATTAGAGAATTATCATAATGTTTCGTTGACAGTAAGAAATTTTATAACAATTTTTACGGTATTTTTCTTTTTGACTTAGGAGATATATATAAGTGGGGACACGTTGATCCGGAGGAAGACTTCACATGTTCTGTCTTCAAAACATAAGAGTACATATGTATTACAATAAGTCTAAACATTTAGCTCTCTTTTAAATTTGAAACTAGAGTACATATGTATTTCATGAAATAGAGTCTCATCTCTCTCTATATGTTCTCAAACTCTCATTCTTGTACGTATGTTTAACTTTAGATATCTGTTAAATTCTTGGAATACCCCGAACCGATGAATTCTTCGAATATCCGGAACATTAAAACTATCGAAAATCGTCGATTATAGATGAAATACCGATCGATATATTCGAAAATAAGATTTGCTAGAGTAACTTGATTTTAATTTTCGTAGTTTTTGAGTGTAGAAGAATGAGTTGGATAAGAATAATATTTGAGCTTTGAAGAAGAGACAACTAAAACACACAAAGAGAGAAGTGAAAGTTGTCTAAAAGTCATCTCAACTTCCACCAACCCGAACGGGGTTTAAGTAAGTAATTACGTATCAATCTATTATTACAAAACACAACTCAACACTTTGGCTCTCATCACACCTTATGCGTGCGTTTGTCTCTTCTTCGTACTTCCCTACCCTTCTCTTCTCTGTCTATTGCCTTAAACACTTTTTAACTTTCTTTCTTTTAATCTTTCTCCATCTCATCACACTCTCTAGTCATCTAACTTGATTTTTTTATTAAATTCATCTCTCACTAGCTCCAACAAAGTTAGGTGTGTGCATGTGAATTTATATATATGCCTCCGGAAACATGACTTTCTATATATGCATATTAGAAATTTCAGTATACTTCTTTCCATAACTAGGAATTTTTAATTTGAGACTATTTTCCGCCGTGTTAATTGCAGTGGCCAATTAAATACGGGACTCCTCCAATCTACTTTGATATGATGTTTTATATTTTAATTTATTGTCACTAGGTTTGATCATTTATATATTGATTTAGACATCTAATAATTTTTTGAAATTGCATGCATGTTGAGAAGAGATCCTCGTAACAACTTTTTCATTGAGGGGTACAATTTTGGTGTTACAATTTAGTATGGTGAATTAGTTAACGAAGGAATTAAAATCACGTTTTATTTGATACGATACACCCAATATTAACAAAGGCTCATTAATGAATTCAAAACCAATGATTAGTCACTCGAATTTAATATATGTGGAAAGACATATAGAGTAAATAAAATTATGGAAATGGGACACATCTTAATATACATCACATGGCTTGCTTAAAAAATTTGGATTTGTCGTTGCATGAGATTTATATGTTTTTACAAAAACATGACAGCGAGATGAAAACATAATTAGCTTACTTCCAAACTAAACATCATTAATATCCACACTAATAGTATAATACTACCAAAATCCTCAAGAATAATCACATTAGTATAGTTTGTAATCCACGTTTCACTGGACATGTCATGCTTGATTATAATGATAAAATGCTACATATTATGCAATCTATTGTTTTCTAAAATGAATATTTATTATTATATAAATTTTTGTGTATATATATGTTCTTAATATGTATGTTTTGGATTACATTTGAAGAACAAAGAATTATGTTTATTTCTCACACGAAATGTAGTTATTCTACACATATGGAAACTTTGATGGAAGTTGATATAAATGCAGAATCTGTAACAACTAACAAGAGTGAAGTTTTGTCAGAGTTTGTGATTTAACTGGAATTTTGATCTTCTACTTAGTTTTGAACGAAAAATTCCAGTTTGGTCTAGGAATAAATGAGCTTATTAAATTTTCGATATAGCAAAATAAAATTAAAAAAATGTATGAAAAAGTTGAATAATCTTAATAAGCTAGAGTGACCTAGGAAGGTGCCTTAGTTATACCCGTGAATCTTAAAAGATTCGTTAGAAGATCCCTATGATCTTATTAAGTCTTTACTCTTTATCATTAGTTATTTTTTTTTACCTTTGATCGTTTCACAAAAATAAAACGACGAAAGAGCGTATTTGTACTATGCAAGTGGCTAAGCAAAAATTTGGTAAACTCTATAAATAAGGGAAAAATAATATACGAATATAATTCAAGGTTAATGCATATTTCTAATTATTAGAATAGCCTTCATGTCATGAATCAATGATCTTGTCAAAAAAAGTTTTTGAATGATCAGAATCATCGGTTAGTTGAAAGGAAATTTAATCCAATAAACTTTAGGGTAGATGAAAATTATCAACAAAAGGGAGACAAACTCAACACAAGGACACATGAAATCAAAATAAAAAATCCTTAAAAGGGATTTGATAGTTCTTTATTAATTTTTTAAAATTCTTTATCACTGAATTACTAAAACCATCATACAAAATTCATTCTTTATCAAATTTTAGCTTAAGTTTTTGTTAAGATATTATTAGATCCAATGCCCCACATTGTTTGTGATAAAGATGGGCAATATATATAGGATGTGGCAATTTTTTTACCTTGAATTAGCTTTTGGGATTAGTTAGGCTACATTACTAATATGGTATCAGAGTCGGTTAAAGCCCAACAAGGAAATTCCCACCAAAATGGATTTCCCATCTATGTAGCCCGTATAAATTGTATGTTTTGTTGTGGTATTTCCAAGATGTTGGGTTCAGACAGTTTTCGTGTTGGACCGTTTCCCACCCATATTTCGAGAAAGGTTATTAGAGTCCAATGTCCTACGTTACTTGAGATAAACATCTTTAGATAATATATATAGGATGTTGCAATCCTTCTCCTTTTACCTAGCTTTTGAGATTAGTTAGACACATTACTAATATATATCCATAAATATCTTAACTTTTAGACAAAATATTTGGTATCGATTGATTACAATAAAATTCAACACTTATTCTACTTTCCTATCCAAAACGAAAACAGTCGTGTCCTTATTTGACTTTTAATACGTACATTATCATCGTTTAGATAATACTAAGATCATCATGCATTGAAAAAAGTTGGTTGTGTTGATGGATAACGATGAAATATCTATAAATGCAGTCAACTAGGCTGCTCTTGAAATCACATAATTTACACACAAATATATAAACACACAAAACTTTTCATAATTAGAAGAAGTCTTTGTACTGATCAGTGCATGTATGAGACTATGAGAGGTTTACTTTGACTTGTTCCGTGATATAGAGATCAGACTCGTGACTGAGATTTATATATAGTCAAGCAAAACGACTTCGTCCAAGTTTGTTCATTAATTATTTGAGAAATCGCCGTTATTGTCCCCAATAAATACACACATATAGTCATAAGTGTCTTGTATTATTATACACGTTCTGAAGTGTAAAATAAGTAGTGACAAAGATTGATACCAAACTCACTATATAATATGATCCACATTCTTACTTAAGGAGTACTCTGAAATATCTAGTGATTCGTCAACGCTTATCACACTTGTTCAGTAAACACTATTCAGTTTCTGACAAAGTCAAATAGTATTAGTATTAGTATTATTAGTTACTAGTGGTGGACCCGCACGTACGTGCGGGGTTAATTTTACAAAATTACGATTTTTTAAGTATATGTTATTTTGCTAAAATTTTGTTATATGAGTTTATTTGATAAACTATATATAGACATACAATTGTAAAATATAGATATTATATTACATAATACAATTTCAAAATTATTTAAATGAAAATAATAAATGATATTACGTGTTTATTTTTTAAACTAATCAAAACATTTTTAACTGTTTGCTTAGATATGTTAAATCGGATTTGAGTTTGGCTTTAGTTTGAATTGTTTTATGTATAGTTTAGAATGGAAAACCCGTCCTATCCCTTTCCGTCTTGTCTTGACTCGTCCCGTCCCACCCCGCTCCGTCCCGTCCCGTCTTCTATCTGTCATAAAATTTATGTCCCATAATCGTTTCTTTTTAAAACATAATCATTTGCCAATGTTTATTATACGAAACTTGGTAAAAGATTTAGACGGGATACTCGTAGTCTTTGTTTAAATATTTATTTTTATTAAACTAATAAAAATCTAATTATCAATCTAAGTCACATGCTCCCACCATTTTCATTCACAAGGCACTGTCTATAATCCTATCATACACAATCCTTGTTCGATTTTTAATTTATTGATCTTTCAGTTTCATCTTTATTTCTCATTACTTTCTTCAATTTAAAGATTCATGTTTTAGCCTTTTTGTTTTCTAAAGATTTAGGTATTTCTATATTTTTTTAATACATGGATTTATTGTAGTTTTGTTATCCGAAGTATACGTTATCCTCTTGTACCCGTCATTTCATGTCTAAATATTTGAAATAAATAGGAAAGTGGAAATTAAATTTAGCAATTTGAATTACATGTCCCCGTATCGTACTCGTAGTTTTATATTTGAAAGTTGAAAGTGAATTTAACTTTATGACCGTGTCTCAAATTATATCTAATCATGTTTTTTTTATGAGAAATAATTCAGATAATATTTGTTTTCGAATTATATGTTCCCGTCTCGTATGCATTCCTATAATTTTATATATATTTTTTTTAAATAAATAACACCATTTACATGTAACTAAATATAATTTTAATATATGTAAAAAATTTCATATAATCGTCTAAAAGTAGAGATTTATACGCCCCAAAGTTGAATTTTGTTCAATATTTTGAGATTTTGAGAATTAAATATAACTACCAATTTTTTTTATTTCAACCGGTTATCCAAAAATTATATATTATATTTGTCAAAGATAGTTTAAAAGTGTACGTATATGTGAGATAATGTTTGTAGATATTTATTTATTATATCATTTATATCATACCAATTTGACATTTTATTTGTTTTCAATTAGATTAAATCATAAAAATATAATCCATTTATTATTTAAAAATTGGTAATAAGTCGTTAAAATCATTTAAATGTGATATATCCAATTATTATTTAGTTTTAATCATTTGTGGTAATAAGTCGTTAAAATCATTTAAATGTTTTATGATTTGATAAAACAATTCTTTAATATTTGATAATAGTATTGATATGCAAATTGTTAATGGATGAAGATTTATTTTGTTAAGATTGTGTGAAATTAATTAGAAAAAGAAGTTTAGAATAATCATTAACTAACTGCTTGACCAAATAGAAAATCATTAACTAATTGAATTAATGATAAATTTTGTAGATATCTTTTATGCTATAATTGCTAGATTGCTTTTTGAATATGAATATTTTTTTATGTGAAAATAAGAAATTTATGTGATCTAGAATGTTTATTCGCATGATTTTAACAAACAAATATTTAATTATCGATTTATTTAAATCTTATTTATATTTTAAAATTATATATTTTTTTTAAATTTGATGATATGATCAGTTATGTATATATATACTATGTAGAATTTGATTAGTTGATTATTTCATAAGCTAACATATTTTTTTATCTTTTTTATTTTTCTAAAAAAATGTTATATTTGTTTTTTAGATATATGATGATTTTGTTTTATTAGATTTCATTCTATATAAATTATTAATTTCGAAATTATATAAAAATATTAAATTAATATTAGATATGTTTATATATATTCAAAATAGATATGTTTATATATATTTAATTTTGAATTTAATTGTCCACTTTTTATGGTAAAAGATTATTATGATTTCCATAAATATAGATAGTTGTTTTTTTGTTTTTTTGTTTTCCTGTCATTAATTCTGTTTGGGAACTGGTTTTATTTTCATGAAATTTTTTTTTAATAGGGTGCTGTTTGGCTTCAAGTTGTCCTTCCCAATTAATAGTATAGATTATAAGATTACATTTTATTAGAACTTTTAAAGATTATCATTATATTCTTAAATTAATAAATGGTGTGTAATGGTCCATTTGCAACTTTATAGGAATTGACGACTCGAGTTTCATCGCATTTTCTGATATTTATAAAATCAACATCATGTATCTTTCAAATGTTTTACAATTGTCTATCGAACGATAATTCTAATATATATATATATAATTTTAGTAGTTACATACATAAAATAACACAACTAAATGAATTATTGAGTGCAATAATTAAATAGGGACGATTTTTCCATAAAATTAATAGGAAGATTTAAGCTTCTGTTTTTTTTTTTTTTTTTTTAATGTTACATCATATTAAAATATATGTGCTATATTATTTATTTCGTTATAGATAATCTGAATGAGACTTGAAACTTGAAAGGGTCGTGAGTTAATAATACAACTTGGTGGTGTTCCGTCGCCATATAAATACCATAGTTGTCTATATAATAAATTTTCATCTTACGTATAAAAACATAAAAATATAATAAATTATATAGTTTTCTTGTGGGGGTTTCTTGTTATGACATCGACAAATCAACTGAAAATAAATAAATAAATTGGCCATATTGATAAAATTGTATTACATTTTTCTTGAAAAAGAATGTATTGTATAAATATCGTATACACATTACATGCAATGGTTTGTACATTTACATGTATACATGCACGTGGGGAGCTTAGCTATACTAAGTCTACTCACTTGTTTATTTTTGTTTCATTTAATTCTTTCATAGTCGATACTGAGTCAATTTGATTTTTCTTTTTTCGTAAAAATATATCAATCGGTACAAGATTATACATACATCAATCAATAAATGAATGCAGCCCTAATCGAGGATTCTCATCTGTATTTTTTTCTAAACATATCAGTTTCGAAAACTTCTTATAATGGTAGAACATGCTACATGTGCTCACGTTTAATAGAATAGACATAACAATGTGTATATAACATGTAGAATTATTCATATATACATAAAAAGCAAGACATTATATTTGGCCCAGGGAATACAGTAGGAATGTCGTTATTCATGATAGAAGATACTTAAATCCGGAAAATGAAATAATATTTTCTTTTCAATTAATTTCAATTTAATTAGGATAAATTTAATAAATTTACATTCAGTACAATTACATGATAGCTACGAATCTAATGTTATTAAAAGAGCAGTAAAATTATATACTATTTAATCAATCTTAAACTCACAACAAAATGAGACCTTAAAAATAAGTAGATTATTTATACAATAAAACATTTTAAAACCAAACTGATATAGAAAAACCCTAATTTTTACGAATTCATTGTTGTAATAAGTTTTTGACACCAAAATTTGACGAAATAATAATAATAATACAGATAGTATATATCAATTGTGTAGGTCACGGACAGACATAGTGGCATAGACTAATCGAACATATGTAATAATATAACCAAGTGTGCATAATTAAAAACTATTTAGGGTCCATCATATTAACGAGCCGGGCCTTGAATTTAGTAATTTACGTGTGTCTTAATCTGTTCTGGTAGCAGGTACGTTGTTCATTCACTTTCGATATTTGTAACTTGTAAGAAACTTAACTACATGAATTAAGTTGTATATATTTAATGGTTGATATACAAGTCAACGCCACTTAATATTACATTATAAAAGTGTTAAAAAAATATATATATATTATTCTATAAAAATAAAAGTTCTTAAGACTTTTTCTAATTGTCAAAATGATTTGGTTCAAGATTTATCTAAACAAAAGAATTACCACTAAAATTATTTGGTGAGTAATTTAATACCATTGTAGCAAGTGGCCACAATACTTAATACTAATATTTTACAAAGAGGACCATTTTAGATTTTTATTTTTTGAAATTGTCGTCTTATATTTGGAATGCAACTTTTGTAACTAATTTTCAGATTAACCTTTTATTCAGAGGTTTTGTATTTAAATTATTATAATTTGTTTGGCGCTATACTAAATCAAGAGAAATAACCTACAATAGCATTTACCGATACAATTAAATTATTTTTCTTAGAAATTATTTTCAGTTTGGGTTGACTTTTTATATTTAGAGTATAATTTTTACGAGATAGGGTTTAGTATTTATAATTTAGAATTTAATTTTGAAAATTTGAAATATGGTGTTATTTTTGAAACTTTAGAGATGGTATGCTAAATTTGGAAACAAACTTGCTTTTGTGCTATTTGTGAAAACTGTATATTTAAATGGTTTCTTAATACGTGTGAATTGTGTTAAAGTTACACTCTTTTGTGAAACAAATTAAGTATCCTATATGAATCGAAAAGCTCTCCCAAAACTTCTTTAATTTATGAGATTGACATTGGTCACCTAAGTCATTTTATTACCCTCTTTATTTCACAAAGATTGTTATTTCAATCTTTCTTATAAATGATTTTCTCTTTCTTATTAGTAAGCTAAAATAGAAAACACAAAATGATATTTTTTTAAAAACAAAATTAGGTTATAAAATGACACTCTTGAATTCAAAGATAAATTAAAATTGTACCAAACTGTATTAGATTTGCTTTGGTTTTACATTAATTATTTTTTCAGACCAAATAAGTATACCAAAATTAAATCCGGATTAAACCACCAACATGTTTGCATCATATTATTTAGTATTGTTTGAAAATTATCTTTGAAACTAAATGTTGACTATACATTTCCTTCTATATAAGCATCATCTATCATTTTCATAAAATTTTAAATTAAATATTTTACCATATTTGTACAAATTTTTTGGATGTAAAGTTAAGAGATGAAGAATATCTTTTTAGTGTACCATTTTTCAAAATTGAAAAGTTTGTGTATTTATTTCCAAAAACACTTTATAATTAAATCGGAAAAGTTATAAATTTTTATAAAGAGTTTATGGATTGTAACTACTACTCCAAGACTCAATCCAAAAGTATCCCTTTATTTATTGGGCAAATTTTTCAAAGAATTTTAAATGGTATTTATAAAGTATAAATAAAAATGTACACACACATAAAAGTAATTTGTGTATATTTTTAAAAGTTTACATATATATATATTTAATTAGATAAATATCTTTACTTTAGATTCTTTGCTATTTTAACCAATAATACTTTTCAAATCAGTCCATGATTTCGTTTAGCAATCTTTGTTCATATGATTCATTCATTCTAGGTAATCTTTGTTAACAAAATACAAAACAAATGTTTCAAACCACAAATTTATATAATATCATATTCAAACCTTGGTTTGCCATGTCATATACATATACTCTCACTAGCTAAACCAATTATAAGCACCAGTCACACCAACAATGACCGATCCTCAAAAGTACATATTTACAGAAATACCACTACAGTTTTCAACGTCCTGATTCTGACTTAAGTGAACGTCCCGAGTCCGAAGGTTTAAGCGAAGGAACGATCATACACGAACGTCCCGTACCTAAGAAAAGGTCAGAAATGTAATTACCCAAATCTTCAGGGGCATATCTAACAATATCCTCCCAATTCTCAACGTGATATTTTCCATAAAACGACGTCGCAACAGTCGTTAACTTCTTCGTCACGGATTCTTTTAAATCCTCCCTTAGTTTCGAATCCGGCACAACCCACTCGCTCTGTTTCTGAAACGCCTCTTCAAACGCCTCGTTGAAACGCGTCAGCCGCTCTTTCGCCACGTGTTCTTCGAGCATCTCTTCGTCGGTATCGGAAAGTGACGTAATCACTTCTCCCCAAGCTATTTTCTCGTATTTTTCGAGGTATTGCGTAACTTTACCTTCGTGATTCGTCACCCATTCGTCTCCCAATACAACCCTAAGATTCGACGTGCGTACCTTGGAGATCACGTAATGGAGATTGTTGGCTAAGAATAGGTACGAGAGAGCCATGTCGCTGTACATTCGAGATTTTGTATCGATTTTACAAAGCAAGACGAGGATTAGCCACGCGAATCTTGTGGTCACGGGAGAAGATGACGAAGTTCCTGTTTCGCCTCCTTTGTTGTTGTCTTCATCATTGTTCCCGAAGTAATCTTCCGGTAAAGGTAATGTCGATTCGGTGAGAACTCCGGCGAGACATTCGTTATAATCCGCAAGGAAGACTATGAAATTCATTACATACCTGTTGTGATTATAGTGAATCAAATTTAGGGTTTTCTTTATACTAATTGCGTGACCTATAAGATATTTATATATATGTTAAAGTAAGGTCTCTTTTAACTAGGATATATAGTACCTTGTGAGTTGATGAACTCCGCCTCCAGGGATTAGCGATTTCGAAGCTTCTTTCGTAATCGAAGCTTCGAATTCCGCAACCATCGAATTAATCGCTTCGCCTAGGTTCTTGAGAGAATCAGCGGCTTGTAAGCGAACCGCAGAAGTCGAATTATAGCTAAAAATCTCTTCGATTTGAGGAAGAAGCTGCGAAATCGTTTGGTAAACATCAAGAGTAAGAAAGATCTTCTCTACGGTTTTTCGACATCTCGCAACGCTCACGGGGAATATAAAGAGTGTTAAAGCGCTATCTAACGTAATCTCCGTGAAACAAGACTCGGCAACAGAGACAGAAGGCGAAAAAACATGATCGCAAAGAATACGTTCACCATCGAAAAGATTTGTTATTAAAACTTTCGTAGCTTCTAACCATTTCTTGATGTTCTTTTCCATACTGTCCCAATCAAGTTTCTGAATCTTGCCAAAACTAAGATTCTCAAACCCTAAGTTACTCAACGCTTCAACCATGATTGATCCTCTTATTTTCTTGTAAATCTTGACACATTCGTTTTCGTAACCGGACGAGATCATACAATCAGCGATCATTTTCAAATCAGTCATTACATCAGCTTCTTCGGATTTAGGAACTTGGGAGTATTTCGACACTTTATTCCTAGCGTTGAAAGATTGAGAAGATCGAACGGATGATACCGATTCGGGCTCAAGATTCCGTCGATTCGATTTCAAAATACGGTAAAACTCTTTCTCCAACTGTTTCATAGCGATGGTTACAAGATTATGCGCACGAGTTAGTTTTGGTGATTCAGGATTCACCAAGACAACTCCTTGTATAGCGTATTGTAAGCTGTTGGTAACTTCTACGAATCTTCGACCTTCGGCGCGGTTATTGGCTGAGAAAATCGAAGAGAGGGAGCAAGAAGATGAACTAGATAGGTCAGGAGAAATCCATTTGCGTGTGAGAGTTTCAGCTGCTTCGATACTATCTATTAGAAGAGACTCAGAGAAGCTTTGGTATGGACGTGGTTTTAATTTTCTTCCTAGAGTTGAAGATGGTTTAAATAATAGCATCATTTTGTTTTTGTTTTTGTTTTGTGTTTTGTGTTTTGTGTTTTGTGTTTTGTGTTATGTGTTGTTTTGTGTTTTGTGTTTTGTTAGTTTTGTTTGTTTTGTAAATTTGATAGAATGTGATGTTTGATTTTTTTTTGTTTTTGTTTTTTGGAGGTTCTCTAAGGAAGTATGTTTTTGATTGACTATTTTTATGTTTGAGGTTTTTGATTCAAGTTCTTAAAAAGCATGTGGTTATATTTGTAGTTTAAGAACTTTAGACAAATTTTTACTTCTAAAATAGCCAAAATCAAGGGATTTTGAAACGTTAATCTATTTAGGATTTGTTTTTTTTTGGTTTTAAATCAGATATTTTGAGAATGTTGTCAAAATGTAAAATGTAAAATTGAACTCTTACTTATTTAAGAAGAAAATAAGGAAAAATAAAAAAAAATTGTTAAAAAATAGTAGTACATATGTTTGTTGAGTTTGATACATTATTACAAATCAGTTTCATCGTAATCAATTTCATCATCAGAGTTAATATTGATACTCTTTGAATGAATTTTATTATTGAGTTTGATACTTTATTTAATATCTAGATGACTAGATTCATGATCACAAGGACATGACTCAAAAGAACTAAATAATAAAGATAAGAAAAAAACAGAAGAAAGAAAAAAGCTTAAGCAAATCTTGATCAGGTCATGGTAGCGATGAGGTCTGAGTATCCAGTGACCTATGTACGTATTTAGCAATTCATTAATAAAACAAAACTAATCTATAGAGAAAATATATATATGTAATGAGATGAGTTACAAAGAGATATAGAACATGTAACAATTAAGTTACCTTTTGGGTCTTTTGATACAACAATGGTATATAAGACAAATGAGCATCATGGCACCCACAATTCCTACGGTGATACGGAGACATGTCTCGACATCGATTGATCCTATTTTCATGCTCTTATGTTTCTTCTTCGTCTTCGAGCCTTGCAATTTTTAGTGTATTAATAGGTTTAAGAATCTCTTATCGAAATGAAAAAAAATGAAGCAAGTTTCTTTAAGTTTAGAGAAGTTCTTTTACCTTTGCTTGAAGAGCTCGAAATAAACGATTTTGAACCATCGAGTAGAGCTTGAGGACTTGGAGATTTTACCACATCTTCTACAACGGTCATGAACGATCCATGACCATTCTTAGCCATAACATAAGATTTATCTTCATGTCTACAAAAATATACGGATGTAGTTAATTTCATGCAGCCAATATTGAACAAGATCATATATATGAGGTGTGTTAATTACTTCTTGGTTGAGTATGCGGAAGATAGAGCGAGAGAGACTACTACGAGGAAGACGATGAGAGAAAGATTTGAAGCCATCGATCAAAGTCGCCTTGTGCTTGATTTGCAAATGTGGAGAAAGATACGTACAAAAGTGGAAGGAGGCTTTGCTATATATATATGTACGTAGTCACTAGGGAATGAATGCCCATGCATGTGTTTGATATATTTGAATTGCTTTTAAGATATGATTAATTGTGTATTTCATGATACATATCTTCAAAATAAATGTGAAAAATATGTTTTGTGGACTTCAGAATTGATTTATTTCTTTTTTTGTTTACGTTGGTTATGAGATGGCTAATGGCTTCTCTGCCTCTCTTTTAAAAGAAGAACTCTGGTTCACAAATATACAATAAGTTTTAAACTTACAAAATTCTTTAGTTTCAAATTAAATTATACAAAACTTAACACTAAAATACTAATCTTACAAATAAATACATGAAGTACACACTAATCATTACTACTAACAAAAAACATCATAAGATGATCCAAAATTATGGTCAATATGATTTTAGTTAAACAATATAATCATAGTTACTTTTTAGTCTTATTGTTAGGTTAAAGCATACAACATGAATAATCTTTTTATATACCAATGCCATATACTTTTAGTATATGTCGAGTGTTTTCTATGCTCATAACTTTGAACTGGTCCAGTTTATATTAGATATGTTCGTTTGGTCGTTGTATGCAGCTATGTAATTAGAACGAAACAAAGTAATCGAACAATTAGATCAAAGATTTGTATGTAATTACAAAATCAAAGTAGATAATTCAATTTTAAACTATAGTTTTCCATTGCAATCGCAAAACTAATCAAAACAATTACCGCAAATAATATCATTTTATCACACAGTAAACTCACACGTGTGTCAAACATAGGAATCAGAAGAATGAACAGACGAAACACTCCCTGATACACGAGACCCAAAATACAAATCCGAGAGATAATTCCCAATATCTTCAGGGGCAAATCCGACATTCCCCCATATCCCGACCCGGTTCCTCTCACAAAAACCCGAATATCTCGGTATAATCATCATCCCAACAGACCGTTTAATCTCATCTCTCAATTTCGAATCCGGTACGACCCACCCGGTTTGTCTCTTATACGCCACCTCAAACCCATCACTAAACCGCTTAATCCTCTCCTCCGCCGTCGTCGTCACATCATCAGAAAGTGACGCCATCGTCTCTCCCCATACGATCTCCTCAAACTTCGCCGCGTACTTCTTCACCTTCGCTTCATGCTTCTCAACCCAATCCTCACTCAGAACCATCTTCAGATTCGACGATCTGACTTTAACCACGACGTAGTTGAGGTTGTTGATGAGAAACAGATACGAGAGAGCCACGTCGTCGTAGAGACGAGACTTGGCGTCGATTTTGCAGAGTAAGAACAGAATCAGCCACGCGATTCGCGATTTCACCGGATCCGAATCACCACCGGAGTTTTCTACCTCCTCCGGCGAAGGTAACGATTTGGTGACGATGATGTCGGAGAGCGAATCGCTGTAATCAGCGAGGAAGACGATGAAATTCATAACGTACCTAGTCAATTGATGGATTCCACCGCCGGAGATCAACGATTTCGACGATTCTTTAGAAATCGAAGATTCGAATTCGTCGATCATCGAAACCACACATTCTTTAAGATTCGATAAAGCTAAATCGATTTGTGATTTCACAGAAGACGTTGAATCGGAGCTGAAGATCTCTTCGATCTTAGGCAAAAGCTCTGTTATGGTTTGATAAACATCGAGAGTGAGAAAGATCTTCTCCGGAGATTTTTTACATTTCGCCATTTTTTCCGGTAAAGTAAACAGAGCTAAAGCGCTTTGTAATGTGATTTCAGAAAACGAAGATTCACGAATCGACGACGACGATGAAGAGAAGACGTGATCGGAGAGGATACGTTCGCCGTAAAACAGAGTATTCACAGCTCTTGTTATTGTTCTTAGCCATTTACGTATCTTCTTCTCCATAACTTCCCATTCAAGTCTCTGAATCTGCGAGAGAGTTAGATTCTCGAATCCGAATTGGTTTAACGCTTCGATGATGATCGATTTACGTATTCTTTTGTATATCTTGAAGCATTCTTGAGAGTATCCTGATGATGTCATACAATCAGCTATCATTTTAAGATCATCCATGGTTTTAGAATCAGAGTCTGACGTTCTTGAAGAAGAAGAAGAAGAAGAACGGATGGAGACTGATTCGGGATCAAGGTAGCGTCGATTCGATTTGAGGATACGGTAGAACTCTTTGGAGAGATGGTTCATTGAGAGACGCATTAGATTCTCAGCTTGGATTAGTTTGGTAGACGTTGGATTTATTGAGATAAGTCTCATCATACCAGAATGTAAAGTGTTTACTGCGTTGATGAATCGTTTGGCTTCTTCGCGGTTTGCGGATGAGAATAGGGAAGAGACGCAGCAAGAAGAAGAAGAGGGTGGTGAAATCCATCGGTGTATGATATTTTCAGCGTCTTCGATACTGTGTTCCATTAATGACTCGGAGAAGCTTTGGTGTGAATGTTGTTTTAGCTTTGAGGAAGAAGAAGAAGTTGTTGATAAAGCGAAGAGGACCATTCTTTTGTTGATGTGTTAGATTATGCAATGAAGTGAAGATTCTGGGGAAATGATTTGTATGTAATGGTATTTATAGTGGTGACTTTAGAAGTAGTTTAATATGAAAAATGTATTGAGTATAGGAATAACAAAAACGTGGGAGATGAGAATACTGAGTACACTAGTCTATAAAGTATAAAGGTTCACCGTGTGTTTATATATACACATAGATGTGGTTAACTCTGAGACCATCTATCCGAAATCCGTGATCCGATGCGATCTATTCCGAAAAAACGGATATCCGAATAGAGACCATGCAATGGAGTAGTAGAAATAGATGTGGAAGAATAAAGAATAAGACAAAAGCAATTTGTTAATATGAATACGACAAAATTGAATTGTAGAGTTTCGGGTAGTGCAGCTAATGCCTTATTTTTTAATATAGGGTTTAGACGAGTTTTAGGACTCAACTACTAATTAAGTCTCATAACAACAACGCAACTAAATTATGAAACAATATTATTCATCAAACTCAATTGGAGTATTATGATCACTTCTTGAAAAAAAGAAGAAGTGGAACACATCCCAAGTTTCATATATCAAACTATGGTTAATGGATTTTATCGGACCATGACCAATCCATGCATGTAAAAGTTTACAAAGGATCATGAAAAATTTTGACTAATTTTTACATTTTAGTTCAAGGTAACGTCATACTTTATCCTAATTAGTTAATAACTACAAACTAATACATTGTGTTATGACTCTCAAGTCTTAACACAATCTAAAATAAGAGTTAAAAACAGTTAATCCAATTTTTTTTTATCACACGCTTGTTCTTGGAATCAATTAATCGTATCAAAAGCATGTTTATAATCTAGTGTTCTTTCACATGTTTGCTTTCCCATTAGATAGTGTAAAATGTTAATTGCTCCACCATATATTATTTTGAATGCCTTTTAAAATTAGATTGACGTGTAAGGTAGATAGATAACCACATATCATGATCTAAATGATCATCACAATTCTTGGAAATGTAAACCAACCATATCATTACATATTAACTAAACTTTAACATAGGCTTCTATGAATACAATTATACAACTTACGAAATGGTGTGTGTATAAACTTACAATCATTTTTTTACATACTTGGCTTGTTTCTCTTTACACATATAGGCAGAGGACAATAAGTCTAAAACTATATTTGAAGTCAAAGTCTAAATTCTTGCATACCAAAATATGTCGAGCCAAAAATACTAATTTCTAAATACAATCCAACTTTGACTATTTTTCCAAATTATAATCAAATTCTAATACATGTATGCAGTATTTTATACATAGAATTAATACTTTCGATTACTTAATTCTGAAGTGTAGAATATTTTATTTTGTTCGAGCCGTCGTTATGGTGAGTCATGGATACTCAATTCCCATGCAAACGAGTGAATAAGACCAAATAGTGATTGACCATTCGTGTGTATTTTATTTAGTCATATCTTTGTCAAAACAAAATTGTTACGTTTCCTCCCAAAGTCACCTAAACCATTAACACTAGACGCGTCGATGCATGACTACTAACTCTATTAATATGAAAACAATTTTTCTAATTTTTTCTAATTTTGTTTTAAGTAATGAACGTACAATATTACTTGATGATACTATAATTAATATCTAGACCTTGTTTTATTTTATTTTTTAATCAAGAACTAGAACAATTTCTACTTTTTTTGCTGATTATAATTCTCCATAAATTTTTCAATCTTGAAACTTGATTTATCACATTTAAGTAAATTTACTAACTACAGCTGGTTACATCAATGGTGTTTGCATGACAACACCGCGTAAATTAAATTACCCTTCGCGTTACAAAATGTCAAATATATATAATGGAATCGATCAATATAATTACTTGTCTCTTTCGTCATTTATTTCCTTACACTTTCGAAATCCACAAAACGAATCCGTATCACATTTGTTTTATCCTCAATATAGAAATAATTTAGTAATGGGTTTTCAAAATCACTTTTGTAAGAGCTGTCTTTTTTTTTCCTTTTTCAAGTTAATAAGACTTCTTAAAAGTATTTCAATTAGTTGTCTAAGACTATCAAACTCTTTACCACCTTTGAAAGATACGTAAAATAAAACCACTACAACTTCACCAAGTAACAGCTTGTAAGTAAGTAACTTTTATGTAATTGGGTATCATGATATGGTGCGAAGTGATACTTCTCATTGATACCAAAAGCGCAATGTCACACTTGTCAAAATCGTGATGCTTTAAGTTAGATCAAACAAAAGTAAGAAGGACAAAATCATAAATGTCACATCCATAAACAAAAAATAATATTTTGAGACGCGTTACAATAAAGATGTGATTATAAATAGGAGAAAAAAAAAACAAAAAAGGACGAAGACTTAGGCAATGACTACAAATAAATAAACAAGTTTGTAACTTTTTTCATAATAAGTATGATTTACAAAATTTGCATTAGCATGAGTTCGAGTTTATATAGTGGGATTATGCCTTTATATTTGGGATAACGACTCTTTGACGAGGCAACTTTACTTTAATTTCTACTTTGTTAGTTTAGCTTTTTTCATTGAATCTTTAGTTAAGGATTCAAATATGTAATCAACTAATCAAATAAATGAAATATATAACCAACAACAAAAGTCTCTATGAAATGTAGAATTATATATTGATTACTCGAGTATTTAACCCGATAACTTAACCGAAGTAAAGTATCTGCGGGATCGATCACAAGGAGCAATGGTACACTAAAGACTTTCGAGACTCGTTATCAGCTAAAGCGGAAAAGGGTTTTCGTTTGGTTTTCAGTTTTGTAAATAAAAATGCAAATAAAAGAGAGATTGAAACTTATGAATTAAAGCATCGGGCAGCAGGGTATTTTCAGAGAATCAATGATTAGCAAATAAAAGCAATAAGGAATTCAAACTTGAAGAACCGTTCTTAAACATGAACATAAATTTAGACTAATTCTCTCTCAAGACATTAATCACTAAATTCAACTATTCAATTACTAAACTCTCATTTGTAATTTCCTAGCCAAATTTGCATTATCAAACAGGTTCATTTGGTTCACAAAGCGTTCTAACATCAACTCTCGCAGGTTAGAAATACAATGCTCAATTTACATTCATTCAAGCATTTTATCGAACATCTCTGAAACACATAAAAGCTTAAGTTCTAAAACAGGGTGATCAATCCTATTCTAGCATTGAGAACATGTAAATTGAAGAACCTAATGATTAAGAATTCCCTAAGACATTTAATCTATCAAATCATTGAATTCTCCTACTTGAAACCCTAAAACCCAATTTAAAGACTACTCAGACATAGCAATTGAAACAAAGCAAATAGATTTTAAAGTAAACATGATTCAATAGATTAGAATAAGAAAAAGGTTTAGAAATCTTCTCCAAATTGTCAAAGAGGATCAATCTCTATCCCCAGATGTTGCTTACAAGTCTAAAACTCAGAAAAACTGCTGTGAAAAGCGTAACATGAAAAACAGGTCTTTTTTGGGTTTTAATATCCATTCCAGAAGAAAATAGAAGTTAACTCCGGTTAAGGAAACCGAAATTGGAATGGACCGATCGGTCTAACAGATGGACCGATCGGTCTTTAGGCGCCGGATCTTGTCCGGGTGATAGGATCGATCGATCGGAAGTGAGGACCGATCGATCGTTTTGTTTCTGGAATGTCCGTCCGGTCGGATCGATCGGTCTGGGTGATGGACCGATCGGTCCATGTTCTGCATCAGCGAAACTGGTCACTTCCTTGCCCGAAACTGGTCCAAAACGCGTCAATTCTGCTCCAACCGCTTATCCCCTGCTCAAGACTCAAAACACGACTCGTAAGACACGAAAGACGGAATAAAATACGATAAACGACTCAAAATGGACATAAAAGAAAGGGTGAAAGACTCTAAAAACACTGTATATCATATATTATATTTGAAACTGAGAATCACTTGTATAATGTCACTCTTAAAACTATTCTCTTTTATTTTTTTTGGACTGATCTTAAAACTATTCTCAAGAATGACACTTTAAACTTTTTAAATGTGAACAATGGTTAGTGTTAATTACACGGATCTGCTTTCGCTTTATCGTCCATAAATCTGCTTTATAGGAATGGGTTATTTAATTTTGTCAATTCTTTGCTTTAAGGATTCTACTTACTAAACTAAATATTTATCATGTTTTTTATAATATCAATGAAGAAGTTATACTATTATTTTCATTTTATTTTGTTATCTAACAAAAAAAAAAAAGCAGCAAAAACAATGCATTTAACGATTCTAATCCAAGAGGTCCGCTGTCCAGCTGATTGATATTGCTGAAAGCAATATAAAGATCGATCGATTGGTTTTCTGTAAAAAATTATTATATCAGTGAGTAATGAGATGCGTAGTTCTGTTACATAGTTGCGTTAATTCTAGATGTTTTGACATAGATCACATGTACATATTCGTTTGATAAATCTACCAATTAAGAAAAAAAGTGAATATATAATCTCATCACAACAACAATGAAACAAAATAATTCACCAATAAAAAAACAATATGTAGAATATAAATTGAAATCAATAAAAATATAATTAAATTTGCATAAATTTGTGAGTAAATCATCTAATTTTGAGAAAAATACGGCAAAAAATCATCTATTCTAAAATAAAAGGAGTAATAGTTAGAAGGAACAAAAAAAAAAACGAATGTTTATGATCTCATTCACACCATATGTAACAAATAAATATTTATGATTTAGATTGGTTTACCAAATTATCATATTTAAAATTGGGCTATACTTGTGCATTTATGTTACCAAAATGTTTTAAGTTGTTTTTACATTGTATTATGTTATATTTCCTATTTACTTTCCAATGATCTAGAAATCTTTTAACCTTTTGCGTGTTCGAAGAAATGGTGACATATTGTCGGAGGGGATCTATGTGTAATGGAAGTAAGACATGTACCCCCTCTAGATATTAATAATTCTGTAATTGATCTATCTTACATTCCTTCTATTTCTCATAGTATAATGTTTTAGAAAAAAAATTGTTTCCAAAATATTAGTTTTGTAAATTAAAAACTAAAACTATATTTTTACTTTATGATTTTTTCCACATGATAATTATCTAATAGTTTATATTTTCTTTTTCCACAAGACAGTAATCATAAATTATTTTATAAACAAGTATATAACTTTATCTTAATATGTGTGAAAAAACCAAACTATCAATGTTTTAGAAAAAATGAAATATAATAGGGTGATTTACCAATTAAGTCACTTTTAGTTTAAGATATATCAATTAAGTCACTATATAAGAGTGTCCAAGTTTTTTAACTGTTTGCACACAAAATTGATAAAAATAGCCTCATAAAGCTGGACCAAAAAGCAACGAGCGTTTGTGTTGTAGTTAGTTTTGGACAAATTTAGTTAGTGGGTTATGATTGTAGGTATTACTTGTGGATACACTTCTCTATCATTTTCATGTGGAATTTCTCATACTTGTCCATGTATGCATAATAAACATAAACCAACATACATATTTATATATATATATATTTTACTTTAAATTTCCAACATATGTATCTGTATTAATACGTATATGTATTAATGAACTCTAACTTAATGTTCATTTTTTCTTTACTAATTGTTCACTTGTAGATGGACATTTTTCTACACTTATAATATGTTTACTAGTTGATGTATATATCATTGCGTCCATTTTTCTTCAACAAGTTGTTCACTAGTAGATGGACAAATCACGTAGATGAGCAAATCTTATCATGTGTGATCAATTAGGATTAATCAATTATTATTATATGTCCACTAAAAATAGTTATTCATGAACAAATTACCAACCCCAATTCTTTGATCATTTAGGTTTTCATTTTTTTTACTGATCAAACTCAAGTATGTATATCCATAAACATACTATAATTGATCCAATTATCAACAGAAAAATTGTCAATTAGTGTAACGCCCGTGTCTGGAAATCCGGGTGGTGTCGATCGACATCGTGGTCGGGTGTCGATCGACACTAGTAATTTTGGGTTTGACGGTTTAAGTTTTAAATCGTCGGTTCAATTGAGGCTTGGTTTGGGTTGGTTAACCCTAGGTCGTGTTTAAAAGAGGGAAGGTCGTGTGTTGTCTCTTCCCAGCCGCTTTTTAACACTTACAGAGATAAAAAAAAAGGTTCTAGAGCTTTTGAAGGTTTTTGTGAGTCTTTGGTTGTGCTTGGTGGTGTTCTTGGTGGTTTAAGGCTAGTAGAGGCTAGATCCGTGTTGTGTGGTGTTAGAGGAGGCAGATCCTTCCTTGTTCTTCTTTGTTTTCGTTGCTGTTCTTCTTGTTTAAAGAAGTGAGTGCGTGACTATGGCTTATCTAAGCGTTAAGATTACATGATTTGTGTTTATGTGACTTGTGAATTGAATCCTTTGTGTTTGTGATGTTTTCTGGTGTTTGTGCGGCCTTATGTGATTGTTATTGGGTTGTGTCGTCGTGGGAGGTGATGTGTGGGTGCTATAGGGATTCTTTGGTGGCTAAGATCGTCGTTGGATGCGTTTCAGGGGGTGGGTGTCGACCGACACCAGGAGGGTGTCGATCGTCACCATTCGATTGATCGAAGTGCAGTTTGGTGGTGTCGATCGACACCAGCTTTTGGTGTCGACCGACACCTGTTTTTGGTAATGTCGACCGACACTAGTTTTCTGTGAGCGATAGTTGGGCTTTTGATTGCCTGTTTTGGTTGTTTGTGACATTGTTGTTGTATGGATGTGATCTTAAGTGCTTGTGTGTATAGCCCAGTGGATGGGAGGATCGCTTCACTGAGTATTTGTGATAATACTCACGCATCTCATTGTGTTTGTGGTGCAGGTAAAGTGTGATCTGTGCAATCATGGCGAGGAGAGGAGGATGATCTAGGGTCTCGGTTGTTATGTTTATGAATATGTTAATTGTTGTTGGAACCTGGTTTAGAGGCATGCTAGGTTGCTGGTGTAAATTGTGGTTATTGAATGATTGATTAATTAATATTATGATTAATTAATGTTGGTTTAATATGTTTCCGCTGTGCATGATGATTTATTGTTGGGTTAATTCGGTTAGGTTAATTAGTAGGTATGAGACTATTAATTAATGAATTAAAAAAAAAAACGGGTCGGGTCTTTTCAATTAGAATTGGACAATGTATAATATAATAATTCATTCTTAAGTATAACAAAATGCATCTTAAAATGTAGATAAAATCTAACCATTGTGTATTGTAGAAGAATTACTATAAAATATATTAATATTATCTACATAAAGTTATTAATAGGAAAAGAGAATAAGTGAGAAAGAGAAAAATGGAGAAAGAAAGAATCGAGAGTGATGTTGGGAAGAAGTGTTTAGTTAAGATAGTTAGCATGGCAATTTAGATAATATTGTAACTTTGTTAGGGTGTAAAAGAACAATATTTTTCATATATCACTCCAACTTTTGAAAGTTATTGATCTTGTTATATGTCTGAGATAAGTGAACTTCTGTGCAAATAACTCAATATAATATATTTTAGCTTATTTGGTAATTTGTGTCCCATATTTTGTTATAGGTGGAGGGTTCGATGTCTCTTTTCTACAATTATTTTTCACTTTTTTAACCTTTTTCTCATGTGTTAATATTGTTAAAAAAAATCTTTATAAAATATGATTGATGCCTTGTGTCCCATATATAAAATCTTTATAAAATATTGGTACATAGATTATCTATAGTTTCTCTCCTAATCAAGCAACAACTTTTTCATTTCATGAATTAACTTAAAATAAAGCTGTATCTTTAAATCGCCTATTTGCAAATGCAAACATTGTAGACTCGTAGTAATTTAGATGTCGATCCCATGAGCAATGAAGATCACAACACTAAACGATATGAGATTTAAACTAATAGTACTGTATAGAGAAAATAATTTGTTGGCTATTAAACATTAGGAAATACAACACATTAGGAAAACACAGGACGATGAGTTTAATTATTGTGAAAATAAATTAACAAATCAAGCAATGATGCAAGAAACTGAATTAAGTATCATCCTAGGATATGGAACTTAAAAATATGACTAATCCACTTTGGTGGAGCTAATCATTTTACTAACCATCTAATTATCATAAGTTTCCATCACGTAATAAAATAATGAGTAAGACAGTATTCTAATATTTAACTGCATGTTAACTATAAAGGTTTGGTTCAATTATTTGAAAGAAAAAAAAACGTCTTCCAAACATAAATTGCTTAAAAGTTAAAACCTAGATTTTAAATAAGTGATTGATTTAGAGAGAAGTGAAGGCCCATTAAGTTTATATTTGGTCTACAAAAGAAGGCTCGTGTATCTGCCAACTGGCCCATTAGTGAAGCATTACAAAGTTTTCTATAACAAATTCGAATGTTGAGAGAGACATTCACGTAGCAAGGAGATGATCTATATGTATTTCTAATACCAAATTCGTATGTTGTAGCTTATTACACTTTCTTCGAAATATCACAAACTATATAACAATACGTGTTTTAACATCTAAAGAGTATTATTAACAAATTACATGTACGTAGATCTAGCATAATGGTTTGTAAAATCCCAAACTCCAATTAAACTTTAATAGTCACTAAGTTTATATCACGGACTCACGGTTGTGAGATTAGTAGCTAGGTTCAAAGTTTTAAATAAGTTTTAGTGATAGTAATCATTTTACGAAAAGTTGAATCACAGCTTTTTCAACGTTAGATATAGTCCCCACCTCACTAGTACCTAGTGGGTATATACGAGTTCGATGTACATTACTTATTTATTAATACTGATCAGACTGCTTACTGCATTTTCATGTGTTAATTAGTCATAACCCTTCGTTAAAAAATCGTTAGGCGCTAGTCGGGGCGGTTGAGTAGGTCTAGCGCCTAGCAAGAATTCGGGATTAAACAAAAATTAATTGAAGATTAGTTTTAGGGATATTCTATTAAACTAATAAAAAAATAAAAATATATAGTATTAATTATATGTATGGTTTCATTTCTGTTAATGGAAAAACACAATATAATATACAAAACTATAATATTGGTTTTAAAAATATAATTAATAAATTAATAAAAATTAAAGCCAAATTTATGATTTTCATAAAATGTTGAACATAAATTCTTGTAAAAAAATATCATAAAATTATTAATCTAAATATTTAATAACCGATAAAAATGTTATACTGCCATTAATAATTAATCGAAATGGATATGGTATATCTAACGATTACACAGATAATAATCTAAAATAGGCAGATATATTTTAAACAGGGATCATAACATAAACTTTATATACATAAATATATAACGATACTATAAATTCAATTACAATGGTGAAGTTGACTACTAACAGTATATATAATACAATTTAGCCGAGTTTTATAAACCTTATATGATATGATATAGTTACTATGTTGTTATGTTTCTTTCTATTAAATAATAAAATAATAATACATCAAATTTTGGGACAAAAACAAAAAACAAAATCAAATAAAGTAAAATAGCAATATAGAAGGTGCATATTCAAGATTGATCCAAGAAATGCTTTCCACACACTCCTTCTCATGAGATAGGACCCAATCTATAATAATAATATCTCTTACTTTTCTTTACAAAAATAAAGTTGAAATGATTCTTAACCCTTCCTATATAAAACTCGTATTAGAGCACCTCCAATGGAGATGCTTAATGTATCTTTAGCACGTTGTTTATCATTATATGTAATGATTATAATCATAAAAAAAGAAAATATTGTAAGCACCATAGCTTAAGTTGTGATTATAAGCAACACATAAACACTATTTTTAAAAATTTAATTTTAAAAAATTGATTATCACCCTCCAATGGTGCTTACCATTGGAGGTGCTCTTAGTCGCTTAATCACACGACCAACTTTTCCCTTAAATTCAACCAGACAGAAAGTGAGTGTTATAGTGAGAAAAAGAGAGATAAAGATACAAAGTGAGAGAGAATGAGAATAAGTGATATCTTCTGCTCTTCTCCGGCATCAACCGCCGTACGAACAAGTACACTCCGCCACGACGGGAAGGTCACCAGAGGCGGCCGGAGATCATTCGAAAGTCACCTCCAAAGCCAAAACCCTAGTAATAATAACAATAAGGACAGAACCGTTCCATGTTTCTCTTCCGAGATGCCTTTGATCCCTATACCTCGTCACATGAGTTGTAGAAACTCCTTTGAATCTTCAAGCGGTTTTCGTCGGAAGATTGCTTTGGCTCACGGTGGTGGTGACGTCCAACTTCGCCGGAAAAGCTCTGCTGATGTAAGTGACTTGAGGAGATCAAGAAGCTCTTTGTTAAGTTCATCTTCGAGGTATCTACTTAAAGATCATAAGTCTTTGAAAGATGATGATAAGGACAACCTTTGGTTATCATCATCATCATCATCTGATCGTTCTAAGGATTTGATTACTTTACGTGACTGCAACATCACTTCTTCTTCGTCTTCTTCTTCTTCTTCCTCTTCTTCTGTAACCAATGTTTCATCGCCTGCTCCATCCACTGATGATCAGGTTTGATTATTTTTCTTTAACCAAAGCATTTGATAGAGTTTGAATACGAAGGTGTTATATATATATATATATATATATATAGTAAGACTATATCACTAGTAGAAATTAAATCATTATATCTTCTTGGCTCCAAAGTTCAAAATTACATTTTATGATTTGATTTGGCAAGTAGCATGATAGATATTTTACGCATAGTGGATATGTGGTACCTATTTTGCTGTATAAATCTACAAATAATATAAGCATACATAATTATATAACATATGGTTCTCTTTTATTTGTTTTGTTATTTTTTCATTCTACCTATTTTATTTATTTAGTTATTATTTTTGGAAGGTTGTGGTTTTGAGGGTATCGATCCATTGCAAGGGATGTGAAGGGAAGGTTAGAAAGCATATCTCCAAAATGGAAGGTACTAATGAATCTACTCTCTTCATTCCATAGAATTAAGTATCTTATCAAAGCTACCTAACCTAGTAACCTTGCCATATTTTATATACGATTCAGATGAAAATATTCAATGAATATATAGACGACCACATGTAAAATATTGTCTAATAAAGAAAAATATTTTATGAAAACAGATATAGGTTAGGAGCCTAATTTTGAAGTTTAGTGTTTTGACTTTTCCTAATTATCGGACAACTTTTTGACTAAGTTATAGATAAATTATACAAGTAATTTGTTGATGAAATTTACAACTTCTTGGTATGGGACAGGTGTGACCTCATACACCATTGATTTGGCGACAAAGAAGGTGACTGTGGTCGGAAAGATAACACCTGTGGGAGTAGTAGAAAGCATCTCAAAGGTCAAATTCGCTCAGCTTTGGCCTCCTTCTTCCTCTTCTCCTCCATTTCCTCACATTCCTAACTATTCTCTCCTCAAATCTTGATTTGTGTGTCTTGTAATTTAGTCTAAAAGATATTGTCATAAGACATCTCTCATCTTGTGTGATTAATGATACCATACCAATACGACATTAAGTTGATGTACGTAGTTTAACATGCATATGTTTGAAGAATATATATATGTTTTTGTTTTCATTACATTGACAAGTTATCATCAATGTATAAAAAACAGATCAAAATATATAGAATCAATGAGGAAAAACATATACTTAAATGCTGTATATATTTGTTGCATTGGCGATTTTAAGTTTGGTATTGTGGATTTACAATTTTTGGTTTTATAATTGGTAATAAAATTAACAACTAGAGCAACATCCAATTATACAAACTAAGAAAAAGCGGCATCGAACATTAAGTAACAAAAAAACTTTTATAAATTAAGTATAATAGAAAATTTTATTTAAGCAATAATGGCATATTTGTTACCAAAAATTTCTATCCAAACATTACAACAAGAATATTAAGGAAATTAAAAAACGAATAATATGAGCTTACATTATAAAAATTTTAACCTAATTATGGTTTGCAACTATAAAAACAGTTACATTCCCCATTGGCTTGGCACTGAGCGGCTGCCTTTTTTCTTAATTTGCATGCTTTTTCACATGCCGAATAAACACATTTCCCAGATTTGGTTGATAGAGTGAGATAACATTGGTGTTTTGCTTGTACATTCCCAACTATTGCTGTAATTTTAAACACAAATATCAGTTATTTATTTAAAATATATATATATTTTTAGTGAATATTAAGTTATCAGATAAATTCTTTCTAATTCACTAATTATTCTTGAGAAAGATAATATTTTATTAAATTTACATAACTATAATTCTTCATAATATATTAATATCATAAATTTATAAATAAGCAAACTAACTAACTATAATAAGTTAAAATTAATATATAAAAATGTCTGCCGGCATAAATTCTAAAGTCTAGCTCAAAACATTACTACACTCAAGTTCTTAGTTTTCGATTTGAAATAAAAAGCACTAAACTCAATATTACGGGTTTATGTAATGAAAAATGGTTTAAATTGATAGTATATAATAGTAAATTACTCTGCATAGTTTATATAAAATAAAATATTAAATAAATTTTATAATTTGAAAAAATAGCACGATTTTCATAAAGAATTTATTTTGGAAAATTTCTCTTTTCATATATTAAAGTAATTTAAAATGTAAATACAAACCTGACACAAGAATGATGAAGAAAAAAAGAATCTTGAATGTAAATTGAAAGAGGCTCCTCATCTTAAATTTTACAACTGAATTAATTGTGTTCCAAAAGTGAATAAGAAAATACAATGTTGTACTCTTTTTTTTTAGAAACTACAGTGTTCTACTCTTATATATACATAAATGTAAATTTATATGTACCGCATATTCAATAATCTAATTTAAGTTCTCTTTCTCCTTAAGTTTCGATCTGGAGAGACAAAATTTAACACAAATTTCAGGTTTTTCTCAATGTTAAAGCTTTAAACTCGTTCAGTTTTTTTTCCATTATTTTAGCTCATGGTTTTTCAATAGAAATAAATCCTTTGAAATTCACTAAAAATATCTTATAATTCATATAGAGAAAACAGATTAAACAAATTTTAAAAATAATATTATGTTTTTTACATGTATAAATAAATATACAGAAAAATTGTTTAATCAATTCCTATCGCATGTTTGGTTATATGGATGGTTTTAGGTTTTATTATTTGTGGGTTGTGTGATACAATTTTATCTTTAAGTTTATATTTTTAGTTCTTAAAATAGTTTTTTTTTTGTAAACCTTCTTAAAATAGTTTAGTAGCTGTAAATTGCCATTGTAAATACTTCGAATGTTTTTAAAAGTCTTCTCAAATAGTATTATGAAAATGAAACTGTAGAGATACAATAAGTATACAGACAAGTGCCTTGCATATGTGTGGGGATCGGAAAAAATGAGGGGAAAAAAAAGATATGCGTAACATGAGGACCACTGAATTGTCCGGCGTGCTGTTGATATTTTATAATTTCACAAACAGTGAAAAGTAAGAAAACACTTAATATATATATATCAAAGTTTTGTATATTTCTTTTACCAAAAAAGAAAAAAAAAGTTTTGTATATTTCTTTCTTTTCGTGTCGTCGAAACATGTGCTTCTTTCAATCATATTCACGGTGGGTCAAATTTGGTTCTATTGTTCTCTAAACATATAACGACATGTTTTAGTTAATCATAGAACTTGCTTAGTGATACTTCTTCATACGTGACATTTTCGTGGGTCGCTTAAAGCCAACTTTTGAGATACTTCTAGAGTTCTAGTACTTCTTCTAGGGCATATGGTTTGGTCACATGCATATGAGTTTGTAGACTTGTAGTCAGTACTGGAAATATGAGAATCGACGTATTAGTACAAAAGTCTAGATAACATTTTACTCTAGTTTGTTAACCTAGTGATAGCTACGTATATATACAGTATAGTCTTTAGAAGTGTCATTGATATTTATTTTGACATGATTAGTGTTGTTGATAGGAAGAAATTTTGATTTTTCATTATTGTCGTTTTGTCTTTGTTATAGATTACTTTAGACTAAAACTATTTGGGCGGCCGGAAAGATATAAAAGGAAAAAGTTAGAAAAAAATAAATATACTATACGATATTTATTGGTACACTCGTCTTTCAACAATTAATCATTCATATTTAACCTTAATTAAGCATATTATATTCGTCGATTATTTCAAAGAAACTAATCATGTTCGTCTCAAAATATATAATTATATAATACGTTGAATTTTATATCCGTGGAATCTAAGACAATTAACAACTTACGTAAGCAATAAACATGGAACTATTAACCTTTGGCGATGAAACAAATTAAACGAGGTTATGTAATATTAGTTTTTAGTTTTTACTCCTATTTGGGTATATCAGTACAAATTTGGCATTACAAACTTGGGAAACAGATTTTTTCGAGAAACTTACTTAAAATAAAGCTGCCATTGACCACTGGCTTCAGAAATTTACAACCAATAGAGAATTAAACTTAATCTTATGTTATTACCCCCAAGTTTTTTTTGTAATACTGTAACATCCCTCTACACATATGTTTTGGTGTTAAATTGTTACTGTATCACTTAACCTAAAGTGCCATGAATTAATTATAAAATCAGTAACTGCATAACTTGTTACAAAGTCTGGAAAACTATAGTTTTGGTGAGTTTCTAATAATATTATAAAAGGACAAGATAAATCTATATTTTAAACTTATCTACAAAACTTGATTCAAAGTTTCCACTTTTCAGCCATGCAAATTTGCAACAAAATGACTGAACATCATTATGTCATATTACTCCTTTCACGTTTCCCACCAAGCAAAATCTTCATTGACGGCAACTAATGATAGAAGCATCAAATCATTATATCACTTTTTAAACATGACATGCGCTTTGCTTCATTTGATTCATAACAAGTGTTATCCACTTTGACATTTTTGTCAAATCTTTTATCATTTCATTTGAGTCCTTTTTTTCATAACAAAATTTGCTAAATGTGAAACCGGCTTTGAAACTGTAAGGGCCTTATAGTTTTGTCTCAGGCCCATATGACTTTTGTCGATGTTTGTTTGAGAGAGTTCTGCAAGCCAACAGAACTCTTGTCTCATTTGCTTAAAGCCTTTCTTATGAACATGTAACATGTTATGAACAAATGACTGAATTGGTTAGTAATGCATAATGTGAATGAACATGTTATGAGATGTATGTATAACTGCAATAAACGTTCTGAATAATCTAAGTATTGCTCCAAAGTCCAAACAAATAAGCAATTTTGAGAGAAAATGAAATAAAGAAGTAAATACAATTTTTCTTACACAACTTTCATACTTAGATTACAAATGATACATCATCACACACAAACCAAACATTCCCAAATACCAACAGAAGAAGAAAAATAAAACTAGTAAGAAAGATAAACGGTACATTGGAGAACAGTCTCAAGCCCATCAGTGAACTGATGCGGCAGATTCTGCGGTCCCCCGCTCCCGCTGGATCCGGTAAACGTCTTCACAATCGCGAATCCTCTCGCGTTCACATACTTTCCGGTACCTCCCATAACTCCTAAATGCGATTCAGAAACCGCTGTTCTGAGAACCCCAAAGAAGCTTATACTATCTTCATAACCGCCACTCTCAAACATCGCAGTGAAGGCTAATGTCTGGCTAGTTCCGTCAACAGCACTCGCCACGTAGTATCCCTGCGCTTTCCCGAGCAGACCAGATCCAAGCTCATGCCCTTCGGTTAGTTCATCGTCGATCACAGTCATTGTCCCAAACATTAGCATTTGAAGAGCGGAACCACTTGGGAGCTGACCACCGCTAGCAACACTGAAACCGTTTACAATATTGTTGTTTCCGTTTCCATTGTCCTGAAGAATGTTGGCTGTGGTTCCACCTAATCCAACGAGGAAAGGGACATTGTTGTTGTTGACAATCCCGTTGTTGTTGCTGTCTGATGGAACTCCGTTGCTTACAGCAAGGTTTGCACCGTTGGTTTTAGCAAAAGGGAGTTGGCCACTTAAAGCTGGGTTTGCAACAACTCCAGTTACAGCTCTGGCTGTGGGATTTGAACCACCGAGAATATCGTGCATAAAAAATACCAATGTGTTGTCAGGACCTACACCGCCACCAAGAGCTGGACCAGCACCTGCACCAGCACCCACACCAGCACCCGCACCAGCACCAGCACCCACACCAGCACCCGCACCACCACCAAGAGCTGAACCGGTGCCCGCACCAGCACCAAAAGTTGGACCAGCACCTGCGCCTACACCAGAACCAGTAGCTGAACCACCAGAGCCTACAGCTGGTAAAGGACCAGGACCAGTGGTAGGCAAAGAACCTGAACCACCACCCGGTAAAGAACCAGGAACAGAGCCGGCAATTGGTAAAGGACCAGGACCAGTTGTAGTCAAAGGACCTGAACCACTTGATGGTATTGATCCTGTACCTGCACCAAAACCAGTTCCAGTAGAACCTGAACCACTTGACCCTGTTCCTGCACCAAAACCATTTCCTGTGGAACCCGAACCAGGAAAGGATCCTGATCCAGCAGTTGAGGCAGAGCCAGAGGTTGCTGTAGCCGAGAATGTATCTTCTTCATCAAGACGCCGAGCCGCAGCTGCAAAAGTAACAACAAGAGCTATAACCAGTAAAGAAAGTATCTTTTGACCTGCCATTGAAGAAGAAAGATGATCAGAGATGCAAAGATTGTTGTTTGAAGTAATTGATTGTGATGATAGAATCAGCTTCTCAAAAGAGTATATATACATATTCTAAGTGAGATTGTTAAGATGGAGTTGATGAAATGGAGCAGGTGATAGCTTTTTCACATTATCAAGTGGTTTGGTTTTGGAGAAAGAATCATACAAAAGCACAAAAAAATCATAACTTCTCCACAAGATTTGAATATTAATTCATCAAATTTGCTAAGCTGTAATATTAACAAACCCAAAGATTAAAGCTTTTTCCAATTTTTCTACTCTATAAACTTCAACGAGCATGAAAAATGACTAAAGATCTGATCTTACCATGAAAAGGTCACAGCTTGATAGAGATTAACTCTCATAATTCATATCCCTCGTCACATTATCGATTCGTTGTAAGAACCCAATAAGGCTAATTGAAAATACCGATCCTCGGTTGCAGTTTCCTCTCTCACGCATTTCATCGAACACCTTGTAAACACCTTCAAAAATCTCCAATAATACCAAACCAAATCGTTTATTTATACTATTGAATAGAGACTGAAGGACACAATACCATCTCTAATGATCCGTTCAGAGACTGGTTCATAACACAATCAAACAAAGAGATAATTTTGAAGAAAATATTCTCCGACGGTGTTTAAAATGGTCTCGTCGTTTGATTGTGTTAGTGACGAAGACTAGGAACAAAGCGACGAAGAGAGTATTCTTCAACTCTGGACTCACACGGCGACGACATCGAATTGGGAGAGACGAGTCCACGATCTTGAGTCCCGGTTAAGAGAATTCGATTAAACCGAAACCCAATAAGTCAAACCTAACCGAAACGGTCGGTATAATTATTTGTACAAATCTGATAGACATATAGTGCTGCATTTTATAATTAAATAAAATTGACCAATATATAGGAATATTCATTTGTGTAATTTAAATATATTTCTGTATTTTAATTTCAATGACAAAATATGTCCACGTAAAAAATTATTTATTTATTTTCCTCGTTAAATTTCTATTGGACTTAAAAGAAAAAATGTAATCAGATATTTATTATACACTATGTTATTCAGTAATAATTTAATTTTTTATACACTATTTTTAAAAAGTGTAATTTTAGGCTTTTTAGCTAATTAGATATTTAAGTTTTTATCCAGGAAATTGTTTTTCATTGTTTGGATCCTCAAAAAACTTTAAAAGAAATATTTTTTCATTTCTTATTTATTATGAATTGTAAACAAAATAGAAAAAAGAAAACACAGGTCCATAAAAACCATAACATTTGCTTAAACCATATTAAAACAAACTAAACCACTAAATCTTCTTCTTGTTCTTCCAAGATTTAGTTGGAAGGAGGGAAGAAAATGGCATCAGCGGTCCTCTTAGATCGGAAAGCATTCTCCACCTCCGGATCAACCTTAAACGCCGCCTGCAAAACCTCCGGCGACAAAGCCTTCCACACCGATGTCCTCCCGGCCAAGTGTGTGAAAATTGGACTGTCAAAAAAAAAATATGTGAGTAAGAGTAAAAAAAATATGTAACCAAAAGAGAGAAGTTAAAAAAATTATATATATAAAAACTTACTCAGGAGTAGTCACAATGGAGAACCAAGACAAGCCATCAGAATCAGCAATTTTGGAGACAACAAAGAACCTAGGAACAATGAACAAAGCTCCAGCTTTGACATGTGCCTCAAGAACTCTTTTCCCATCAGCACCAACGATCTGAACACGACCACTTCCACCAACAATGTAAGTAACTTGAAGAGCCGAGTCACAAGAGAATCCAGGAGAGCACATAGAGTGTCCATCTATCCTCACAAGATCAGCACCAAACCCAACTTCACCAACCAAAGGAAGGTTCTTTGTGTTCAACACAACAACTCTTCCTCCATCCTTAATGTCAACATCAAGAGGAGCCTCAAGACAGTTCAACACAAACCCTTCACGGTCACCGTTCCTTGGTGTTGGCATCTTCAAGCTAGCATCAACCTTCACGATTCCATTACCGGTTTGAGAACCAACAAGCTTCTTCACGGTGGTCTCATCAAGATCCCATGCTCTTCCTACGAATTCAGTTGAGAATCCGGTGAAGATTCCGTTGGATCCGGTTAGGTAAAAGTCAGTGAACTGTCCTGCTTTGTGACCCTTGTGAGTCTCGCCAAGGAAGAGGACGACTAACTCAGTGTCTTCATTGTTGAACCACCATGTCACTACACCAAAAGGCAAGGCTATGGAGTCACCTTTCTTGATTGCTATCACTTTCTCCTCTTTCTCAGGGAGCACGATTCCAGCTGTTCCAGCTCCTGAAAATTATTACAAGTTGATATATGTAAAGTCTATATATATTGGACTAGATCAAAATAACAAAAATCCAAATCACATCATATTTATATATTAAAAAATAATGACAATGATCAGTATATGAATTATATAAGAACCGTAACATATATTCATCTTAACATCAAACAATTCTACAATTGATATATTCGTATCACACATCACACAATTCTACAATCACCAAACCATATTCATATTATCATATTTTCACCAAATAATAATGCCATAATGGAAGCAAAATATATATAAAAAAAAACAGAACATGCATAGATCTATCATCTATAAAGTCACATTAAATTATACTTTAAAACACTTTTATGATTTATAGATCTGAATTAATAACTTTGACTAAAACGTTACAAAGAGAGTGTATGAAGTGATAAAAAAAAAGAAGATCATACGACACTAACCTTGAAGAACATAAGCAACCTTGGGGGAATCAGAGTAGCGAGGAAGAGCCAAGCCATACTTCTCAAGAGCGAGTTTAGCGGCTCCAATGTTACCATCTCGGAGCATTGGTAACTCTTCAGGACACCATGCAAAGTATGAGCCACCATCTCCTCCGTACACCTTCTTAGGCAACCTCGGTGAAAGATCCAAATCCATTGTTAAAGCACAAAAAAAATTAGAAGGCAAAGAAAGAGCAAATAGAAAAGATTGAGAACGTTTCTGATATGGTGATGTATTGAGGGTGAGAGATGCAACGTATATATATAGTGGTCGAGGATTTGTATTCAGGTATTAAATGAGAGATTTTGGGAAGCCAAATCTTTGACCATGTTATGAATAATTGTTTTGACAAAAAATTTAATGTTGTAGATAATTACATTGACCAATTTATGGATAAATTATCTACCGAAAACGAAAAACTTGTGGATAAATTATGGACAATAATACCTTAATTAATTAGTCGATTCATATTTCTTTAACAATTACTTAAGTCTATTGTTATAAAGCATTTTCGTGTTCTAGTTTCATAATAATAAATTTCGTGTATGATTATTATTAAACTTGATAAACAAGTTTTTTCTTTTTATAGTATATAAACCATTAATAAATCCGTTTTTATATTTTATTATCAGTGGATAAGAGAGAAGTTATTGATAAAGGAAGATAAAAACATTTAATTAGAGAAAAAATCGGATAAAAATTATCTGTATGGATAATATTAATTATATTAACCAAATTAATTCATAATTATCCTTAGAAATTATCAACCGGTTAAAAAATTGCTAATGACTGAGTATTTTTTCTTTTTGTTGCTAATGACTGAGTTTTTGTTGTTTGAAGTAATCCAAACGAGACAAAAATAAAACAAAAATGTAGTCATTCGTAACGTAACTAGTTTTGTTTCTAACCGCTCGAGCTTGTTCCCAAGAATGTAACGTATTTTATTGAATACATTACATATAGTGATTGCATATTTGTAACGTATTTTGACTTTAGAAGTATATTAACAGATTTTGATGATTTCTCTAAATATTTATAGATGAAGGAAAACGTTACTTTGTTTTCATGAACTTAGAAAAGCCCACTTAACACTTAGGGCAGTAAAAGTCTAGTTCTCCACATGGCCCAACTATAATTTAGTCTTACTAATTGAATAATGGCCCATGAAACTCTTTTAAGAAATGCATGATCACCCAAAGATGTTGCTCATATTGATAAACATCAACAAGTTCTGTGAAATAAGCCAAACGTTCTACTATTTTCAACTAATGTAACAGTGCTTTGAGGACACAACAACACAACAATGCAACTTCTTTTCAAACTGGTTGAAGTTGATGGCCGTCCATGGCAGTTGCAACTAAGGAAACAGAACATGTTCTCCGCCTAACTTTGTACAAGAAACATGACCAAAAGCCACCACAACACTGGTCATAATCCAACCCACATTGTCTTTACTAGAATACTTTTCTTAAAACATGACCAAGTCCTCTGTCTTGATTTTGTCTCCACTTTTAGTCTTTGATCTTTCTGCTCTACAACTGTGTGAGAGTTAGGCACACCAGTGATCTCCAGGCCAAAAATATATGTCCAACAAAAGTCGATGAAATCAATTCATATTTCCATCATAAACTCTAATATGTTTTGAGTTTCAAATAGTTATTTTTTATTGTGTTCATATGTTATGGATAATTTGTTTCATATGAGCCAAAGCCAATTATTTCCAGCTAATGAATAAACCCTTTGATAGAAGTGTCTCGTAAACACACAAGGTATCAATAGTTTGTGCTGGACCCCAAAAGTCCAAGCAACACAATTTTGTTATTAGTACTATGAATCAAATTCATACACACTTTAGATCATAGGAGTGCAATCCCCTTCACCTAGGTACTAAACTTAAAGGTCCTAGGCTTAACTACCATTATACCACTTTGGTTAGGTTACTCTCTTGTCTTTTCTTTTATTAATAACATTCGTAAAAATTACATTTACAAACATAACCGCGCAAATATGTATTTTTTTCTTTTATCATCAATAAAAGAAATTAGCTCAAGAGAGCCAATTTGGATGACATAATATATAGTAAACCTGATACCAAACTTAGTTATGAATACCTAACATTCGATTTATATTCCAATTTACACACAAATATTTAATAGAAACCCTCAAAATCCACTTTTAAATCTTTACAATAATATAATCCCAAACAACTAAACTAAATAACCAAAAAAAAGAAAGACAAAAGCAGAGCAATAAAAGTAAAAATAATTGTAACAACAAAAACACTAATGAAATCTTTGTCGTTTGGTGGCAACTTCAATTCCGGTAGCAATTCCAGAGACAGAACAGCCTCTAAAATTCAGCATTGACGACGTCGTCGTTGTCGTAGTCGGCAAACAACCGTAAGAGTTCGAGATCGGAGGAACCCTAAAACTCTGTTGAAGCGGCGGAGGATTACGCCACCGTGGAAGTGGACCGGCGACAAGAAGTGTTTGAAGCAACGGTCCAGACTCCATCACAGTTTGAAGAAGCTTCCCTTTCTCCGGTAATGATTTGCCTTTAACAATCTCATCCATTAGAGCTTCCACTGGATCAACCTTCTTCAAGATCCTCCGGTTCACAGGTTCTTGTTGTTGTCGGTTCTTGAATTTGATTTGGTTAACCGGTTCCGGTAACACCATGTTGAAATTGGAGAATTCAGGGGACGAGACCGGTTCGAAGAATGAGTCGACAGGTGAAGAACCGTGTGAGTTTGACTCGGTGATACTCGAGTTTGTTTTGATCGTGAGAAGTTTTTGTAATTGATCTTTAGCTTCGTCTCTTTCTTGACGAGCAAGTTTGAGAAGATGAAGAAGGTTCTTTACTTCTTCTTGATGAAGCTTTGTTTCTTCATTAGCTTTTGCTTTCACAGCTTCGAGCTCAAAGGAACTATATTGAAGCTTTTGTCTTAATTCATCCATGCTCTGTAATAATATCAAGAAAAGGTTAAAAGTTTGATAAGAAAAAAAAAATCAAGATTGGCCGAATCATTGAAGAAATCAACATCTAGGAAAAAGTATAGTGATAAAATAATTAATAATACATTGGTTTATTGTTTTTACTAATAACAAACCTTGTGTTCATGGGGTCAAGAATAGTAGAATACACTCGAAACGTTATTAAAATGTAAACCAAACAATATATTATATATTATATAAAGTAATAAACGTCATGGCTAGAAAATAATTAAATAAAAAGACAAAAAAAAAAGTCTTTTTGGTGTTAAAAGGAAGCAGAAAAGTACAAGAAGTCACATTTTATGTAGGTGAAATGGATTGTTCTAATAGATTTTCATAGATCTTAGAGGTTTTATAATGTCGGAGATAACTAAAAATAAGTTAAACATTAGAGAGATTAACACTCAAGAAACTAATCTAAACCAAAGTAATTAAGCACACACAAATGAACAATGACTCTTAATTAAGGAGACAAAGCTAGATTCCTAAATATGTTGGGACTCTAGAATTGAACATAGCATTCTTGCAAATAAATGTTGGATTCTTTGGTAGAACAATTACACAAAAATGACTATTGAGAATGTTAAGAAGACAAACTAACCTCTTGGTAAAACCAAATAGAACCCAACTCTTCCATTGGTGTTTTGTCTTTTCTTCTTAGAGAGAAAGAGAGATTATTGTGTCTTTGTTCTTCTCTTGTTTTTGAGAGATAGAGAGATAGAGAGGAGGAGAGAAGAGGGAGTTGCAGGAGAAATGTGGTGGGTGTTCTTATAGTGTTAGAAGAATGAAGAAGGCATAAGGCAAGAGAGGACAAAGAAGGGAGAGAGAGAGAGCTAGCTAGATGTCGTTCATGTCATGTCAAAGACATAACAATTATAAAAAATATATATTCATAGAAAATGATTAATTTTGTTTGACTCGAAAACTTGGTAAGATTCCATATTTGTCCTCTATCTATCTCTCTCATTGTAGCACTGAGCTATCTTTCCTAAAACCTCTCCCACTTTAGCAGGAGACTTTGTCTCTTACCTTAAAATAATTCGTTGTTTCCCTTATTTTTTTTCACCATTTGTTTACTTATCATGCATGACATTTATGTATACCATGCATGTTATGACATTTATATAATGTTCATAATTAAACTTTCTAAAATAGTTTTGAAAATAATTATGAAGGTTTCTCTAAAGTTTCCAAAAATATGAATTTTTTTTTTTGGGTATTCTTTTGGAAAGTTGAACCAATTGGAAAACTTGAAACGATAGTGAAAGGTAACTTGCTAAAGTCCGTAATTGTGAGTCAGCATATCGTCGTTATTTATGGTATTATTAGACTGTTTTTTATTTTATTTTTGTTCACATTATATGAACATTAATACTTTGAAATGAATAGTTAAATTGTCAAAGTATTAAAAGAGTAAAACAGCGTATATTTACAATAATACGCTTAAATTACGCGTTTTTAATGACCTATCATTATTAGTGTTATTTATTGTTAAGTATATTTACTTTTAGATTGAGTATACTAGAAGATCTAGCTATTTTATAGGAGTAATTTTTAATCAACTACTAAATTTTTGTACTTTGACTCTTTAATTTCACACGCATATACATTAAAGATAAAATACTCTCAGTTCCTTAGAAAAAGATATTAAAAACTAAAATATACTCTCGGAGTACTAATTTTTGTGACTAACAATTTCTAATAATTCTTAACCAGTAATAATCTTCTTTTTTTCGAAATTTACAATTCATTTTGAATAACTAATTAAAATTGTATCAAAACTTAAAAATGTGAATTTAAATAAATAAATATATATATATAGCTTGCCATGTCCATTGAATATAGCAACCTAAAGGCATCAAACTAGTCATGCCAAAAAGAGCAATGTCCATTTATCTAGATTTTCTTTTAAAACTTTGTAATATAATAGGTCAGGGTTTTAGGAAATGTCTTCAAATTCAATAGATAGGAAAAAGGTTTCATCCTTTCCGGATGTAAGATATTTTTCTATAATTACAAGTACTAATAATTTCTTACGACTAGCTAACACTTCAAAATGTTGGTACATTTTATAAGTTAAACAACTTATTAGAGTTAGAGAGTACAAGTTATAAGTTAAACTACTTAGAGGGCTATCATGTTTTGTAAATGTGTGTTTGTTGAAAGTTATGTATCCGCATGGATGGCCCCCAAAATAAGATAAAATACATGATCAGCGGAGGTTGCACGATGGCGACAATCATTGGCTCTACGTGATGAACCAAACATTATTATTATTGTTTAAAATACATAAAGGAATAAATATTGTTTTATAGTATAGTATGATGAAGAACGTATATATATATATTTTTTATAATATTACTATGAAACGACGTACGAGACGCTCCTAGATTTGCTTATGAACTGCCCAAGAAACTAAACTCTATACATACAAATATTTTGATGAATTGTAGAATAATGAATTCAGTATAACTAACTAAACCTTTGTCTTGCAACTTGAACGCCACATGGGTTTCGTCATTCACATGCATTGTTAAATCACTAATACTTTGTTCTATAGTTTTATCTGAAGTAGAATTTTAAAATAAATTTTCGTATACAATTAGGTATAAAATGTTAATAATTTCTATAGGAAGAGACAAATGTAGAACGTGGAGGAGGGAGAGAAGAGAACGAGTAAGAATAATAATGCACAGAGACAAACTTTGTTGTCTCGTTGCAGTGTATGCAAAGGTTTTCACACTTACCATTTAACAAATTGTTCAAATAGAATTTGTTGGAACATTCGCATGTATGTATAATGAAAATATATGCAAAATGCAAAAACAAAATGATCAAAGTCCTTAGATTGCCTAATTCTATTATTGATGAACATGTCATTTTTTCATTACTCTCTCTCAACTATTTCCGCGTCTAACCATTTCGTATGACCCAAAACCTTATTCTTTTTTTTTTTTTCAATTAAAACTATAATGATGTTTTCTTTTTTCTCTTTTTGTCGGCAACCAATGATTTTCTTAAATATTGAATTAAATCCGCCGTCAAAAATAAAAAAATAAAGTTCCAAACTCTCTCAATTCATGTTAATTTCATTTTTTACACAACATAACCCCCAAAATATGAAAAAAGAGAAAGAAAGAAGATAAAACTAGTTTTGTATACAAATCCTCAATTAATAATTACTACAAGCGAAGGCTTCAGGTTAAGATTAGTATTTAGTAACACATAGATTAACCTAATAAATACTGTACTAAGATTCTACAATGTGGCATGCTTAATTTGTCAACTGTAACACTTGTTTAAAAACCAACTTAAAGAAATATATTTATATAAATAGTTAAACGTTAATGTAACATTTTGCTTTAGGGAATCTTGTAAGCTAATTAGACAAAATTAGAAGTCTAAGTCTATATACGAACTATATGATAAAGAGACAAAATTTATGTATCATGTATGCATTATTCATACACGTAGATATGTACATTTGTAGTCAATAAAATAACAAAGGTGTAGACATGGAATGAGAAAAGACAAGCCCCTAAATTTGATAAGCATGTGATCAAAGATAAGACCGGCGGATTATAAAAAAAAGAAGAAGAAGAGTACTGTCTTGTCTTCCATTGGGTTCAATGTATTTGCTTCACATACCTACGCATTTTATATCATTAACCCACAATTATTAATTTAATCAGCTTTGCTTAAACACCCTTTTCTCACTTAAACAATCTTTTCCTCCGGACTCAATTAGTTTAACTAAAAAATTATAAACCATTCATCAAATGACAGTTATTATTTCGAAATTGGTACAAGATCTCTATTGGCTCAAAATTAGTAACCATTATTTTTGGTATCAATTAGCTAATTACTATTCTTTAAGATCTTAAGGTAAACTATAAAAAGACTATCGCAAGAAGTTTTATTTGCGTTCGTGACATTTGAACTTCACATTGAACCGATAAATTACAGATAACCGGAAGCTGGTTTGATTTTGGTTAAGTTGTGTGTGTGTATTTTTTTTTTTTGGGTACATAACAAAACAGAGTACCAAGTTTATTTAAAAATGATGAAAACAAACATAACGAATCAAAAGCATACTTAATCGTATTTTTTGTAGTCTAAACAAAAACAAATTTAAAAAATTTCAGACAAAATGCATAAATATCATTACGAAAATTGGTTCAACAACATCGTAAAGCACTTGTTGTCCCAGAAAACATATAATAAAATCACATATGTGGAACATATAGAACCTCAGGTGCATTATCCCATTGGCTGTGGTTTTAGTCTCCTCTTTAGAAACTTTTTTTTTTTCTTTTTTTGCGAAATATTATTATTCCTTTAGAAACTTCATACGAAAGAAAATAACATTGTCGTTACTTAAACCCGGTTGTTGCATAAGAAATTACATCAATGTTGCGAGATAGAAACAACAAGACGTTCGACGTGACACTAATATTTTCTTCGAGTGTTAAAGATTCAGTTGTCTCTTACCCTAAAAACCAAGTGACTCGTATAATGTCCAAGGAAGAAAAAAACTAGCTAGCCCTCTCAAATTCTCAACTCAAGGCGACATGTGGCCCGACTTATGATTTCGAAATAAGTCACATCAGATTCTTTACAATAAAGTATAACACCCAAAAGAAATTTAGATAATTGGCTAATATGCATAACTTTTTCTGTTCTTTTAAGTAATAGTTTCATACTGATGCATTTATATGAATTTCAATCTAGATATTATACAATATAAGGATCCACTACAATAAACCATTAAATTACATGACCTAGTCTTGACTTATTTTACATTTCGAGATTGGTGACACGGTCACTCGGTTTTGGATCTCTCACTCATTTTAAATTGTCGACATAGCAGTATCTAACAAAAGTATGAGAAATTACGATTGGTTCTATCTTATCAAGTTATAAAACTTTATAAACGAGTTATGTTTTACTTTTTATTTTCTATGTATCCTTCCAAAATATTACAAATTAATCTTAGATGACTAAAAAAATGAAATACAAAAGTTAGCAAAAGCATATATGTATGTTATTTAAATTCAGGCAGTCATTGTTAACTGTACGGTTAATAATAGCTTTATACGGTTACGGTTGATAACGATTACGGTTAATATTTTTTTTATAACCGTGACAGATTTATTTTTATGGTTAACGGTTAAAAATTTTAACCATTTCATATGATCATAATTGAAAAACAGTACGGTTACGATTAGAAATATAGTTAAGTTAGATTTTGGACATGCCTAATTACATTCTTTAATCTGTTTAGAGAGTAACACAATATTATTATATGAAAAAATCAAATCCTTTATATAAAAATACATCGCACACGTACAGGTTTACACAGGTAGATCTGTCGGTATGGTTTTGTGTGGTCAGTCTGTTAGAGACTACCTAGGGATTTGTACTTGAAAATGATGAGTGCAAAGTTAAAAGTTAAGGTAAAAAACAATTGAAAAATATCAATCATTCGCACCGCACTATAATAATCTATAGATAGAGAGATACGTTAGTTTAACCTTTGTAAGACAAAATCATTGATGATGGTGAGTAAAAAAAACTTAGGATCCTTTCTCTTCGACATAATCGCAACTTTTTCGACATACAAAGCAACCCATTATTCCACATTTTCAAAAAAAAGAAAATCTAATATCACATTTCTTTGTTTCATCGATACTTCCAACAATGTTTTCAATGTGATCAAAGCTATTCATATTGTTATAAGTATGTTCTTCTTCACCCACATGCAGTATACTTAGCTTGAATTCGATAATGTATCATTACGCCTTTGGTTGTAGATACTTTGTAACGAAAATGTATACAATATTCAAGATCTTTTAAAATTCTTTTGTCTTTTATTCAATTAATTATGTTCTCACCCTTTGCAAAGTTCTTTAAAGATGAGGAGAATGTATACCTTTAGGCTTTAAGAACAGTAAATGATATTCAAATCTATGCAAAATATGAAGGCTGTCCTTAATGGAATAAAATAAAACAATAAAGCGGTCAAGTGTTTGATGATTGGTTTTAGAAAAAAGCACCAATAACATTATGTATATTGTTGTGAAATAAGTGAAGTTTTTAAGAGAATTCGTTATCTAGTGATAAGTTCATGAATAATTATTAGTAGACTTAGTGGAAGATTTGACGGTACTCAAGTATTGTAACCGCAAAGAAAAGACAAGCAAGCAATCAAGTTTTTAACCAACTATAAAAATTATTTTAAAAGATTTTATAACTATTGCAATCAAATCTATATTTTGGTAAATTTTCTTAATGATGATATCGATTATAATAATTTCTTAAAACATTTTCTTTCTTAACGACCCGCAAGCAAAAAAAATAAAATAATAAGATAAACCGTATTCTAAACCTATAAATGTATATATTAGTTGAAGAAGAAACTAAACACTTTATTTTGAAGACCACACCAATGAACTGAAGAGTAAGGATAGAGAAGTTTCTAAAATTGTTATGTAATGGGAATGTTGAATCGCCTGGTGGAGAAAAGTGATATAATTATTAGGATTGGTTGCCATAATAACGAACTAAAAGTGAACGAATTAGGCAAAGGTCATATGTTGTAATGATGTTGGTGAGTGATTATTTTTCAGTTATGTTCATCATTGGTAAGGTTTACTAGGAGGCTAAAAAGACCAAACATATGTCAAAAGATTCGGAAAAGAATTCGAACTTTTTTTTTTTTTTTGGAGAAAATGATTTCCATGATTTTGTTTTTCAAGTTAGTTATGAGACAATCTTACTTTTTTTTTTCCTATTTAATATACATAATAGTGTACTGATCTTTTCAACATAGATATAGAAATTTCAATTGAAATGATGGTTTATGGATTTTATATTTATTTGTAAGATAAGAAATTTAAATCTTGAATTTTTGATATAGAAAATATTTGCAAAACAATTAACGTAGTTAGGTATTTTCTTTTTTCACATTTTTTTAGTTCGAAGATCATTGATTCGATTAAATTTGGGATGGAAATTTATGTTTGTGTTTTTTTAAAATAAAAACTTTCAATTCTATTGATTTGGCCTTTGGGATTTGTAAAATCCTAGAGGGAACCTTTAAGAAGTTAGGTCAATTAAGTTTTTTCACCAAAAAAATATGATTAGTTTTTAATATGTAATCACCTAAAACCTAGAACTATATATATATACTAGTCAGTTGCTCGCGCTACGCGCGAGAATTTTATTACTTTGTTTATGAGTAATTTATTCGTGTTTTATTTTGTACTTATTTTCTCCACTACAACATATTTTTATTTTCTATCTCATGTTGTGTTTGTATAGAAAATCTATTTTATTTTAGTTTCGATAGTAGTTGAGAAATTAAGTGTCTATAGTATAAATCGATGTGTAAGCATAAACAGAAGTGTTATGGAGAGTTGTAGAAAAAATTTGTTATTAAGGCTCCCACCAAATATAGATCTAGATGATGTTAATATTGTGGGTCCTTTTAATATGTTGGTCCAAAAGTTGAGAATTATTTGTAGATTTCGCGCGGATTGTTGTATTTTGTATTTATTGATTTGGCGATCTGTTGTTTATTATCTATTTATTTTGGTTTGTTATGTTTTTGTTTGTTATTTTTATTTGTTATTTTTTTGTTATATTTGTTATTTGTTATTGTTATTTAACATACATATTAGTATAATCTACTTTATACTAATTTAACATATTTATTTTATTATAAGTATTATTTGAAAGGACTCTTTTTTTTTTTGAAAAAACTTGTTTACATGTGTATAAATCTTTAACTTAAATGATAAAATGGTATAAATAAATTATTAAAATTAAATAGTAAAATGATGTGGATGATGTTTGAAAGAACTTTTCATATTTCTTTTTTAAAAACTTGTTTACATGACTATAAATATTTAGATTAAAGAATAAAATGATATAAATAAATTATTAAAATTAAATAATAAAATGATGTGGATGATGATTAGGATGATGAGGTGGCTTAAGGAGAAGAGAGCAAAGTTAACTTTATATATATAGATACATGCATTGTCTTTTCAATATACCGACTCTCTGTTTAATTATATCAATCTTTTTAACTAGAGGATTAGTGAAACCTCATGAAAACAATTTTTGTTTGTCTTCTCAATGTAGAGAGATTTTGAACCGATACTTTATTAATCATATAAGGGATCGTATTTATATACACAACATAGAAGATATCTAAAGTATAGATACTAGTAGATCTTCACAATATATTTTTATAAGATACACAATATAACTACATCTTTACTTATGCGCTCCCTCAAGATCGACGTTGCTTGATGAGTCCAATCGTGTTAATCAATTTATAAAACGAGCGCGAGGAAAAGGCTTAGTGCATAAGTGCATTAGTAAGCTGGTCCTTGGAGCTAATGATATATTGTGTTTTTTAAGTGTTTCAATAGTTTGTTGTGCTCATTGTTTGTTGCATAATCATAGCTTTTAGGTTGTTTTAGGTTGCATAAACATCAAGTTGTTGTATCAAACAAAAAAGGATAAATCAACGATTAGAGTTATAAAGAAATCAAAGAGTGATAAAATATATGATCTAGATGAGAATATTTGTTGCTTAAAAGAACAAGCAATGACCAAAGTTGTAGTATGAAAGGAAGATCTAGAGAAATAATTATCCACGGTCAATATGAAGTTCTTAAAAGATCACAGCATATGAAGGCTTTACATTGTGATTTAGCTTTAAATACCTTCATCAAAGTCATAGGAAATTGAATTAGCTTTCCAAATGTTGTGATTTCATATCAAACGGAGTAGCGGATCAAAAGTTATTGCCAATCGACCATCAGGTCGATCATGAAGCTTTTTCGCTTGAAAAATACCGGTTTTGACCCGGTTTGTCCCGGTTAAACTCGGTTCATGTTTTTTTCAATTATCTCTTTTAGGTATGTGTTTCATTCTTATGTATGTGTTTCAGCCTTAAAAATATGGATCTCATGTTTTTTTTACAATTTCTCTTTTATCTTTGGAGTTCTTGTAAGAATCTTAAGTACTTTTAAAAATATGGATCTCATGTTTCAGCCTTAATCTTGTTCTCTTTTAGTTTTATCTTATGTTTTTCTCTAATCATGTTCCTACAAAGATCAAACTCACTGCTTTGTATTTTCATGATCATGAGTGAGTAGTTTTTTAGAGTTCTTGGGTTAAGGTAGATTAGAGTGATTTAGATGGTGGGTAATGGAGTTTAGGGTTAGATTGTTTAGGATCCTTACTCACTGGTTGCTAATAAGGCTTGATCAATCTTGGTCATATTGATTTAGAACTTTTGAATTTCATGCCTAGAAGGTGTTCGATGAAATTCTCGGACCAGAACCTTTAAGTGTTTTTCATCTATTATCCTTAGAAATAGTTAACTAGGTTTATTAGTGACTATAAATAATTATTCATAATGCTTATTGATTATTTAATTGCCTTCGGAAGAAGTTGATGATTGATTGATTAGTAAAGAAATTAGTGTCATGGAAATGTGTTAGTCTTGTTTAGTATTCTATGGCCTAAGATAATTACTTGTTGGAAGTTGTTTGAAGTTCTATAATTGATCTCTTTGTCTATAATCAATTTCTTTGACCTGGGATTTGTCTTTTATCTCATGTGTTAGTATCTTTGCAGCCTCTCGCTTTGTTTAATGTCAAATCTTGTTAGATTTTTTGCAGCTAACATAAGAGACAAGAAGTTTTTTGCTCTGCACTTGCTCTTGAACAAAGTGATAATCAAGAGCAAAATGCTTCATTTCGAGATTGAAAACCCCGGATGTGAAAAATTGGAAAGTTGCACCAATGTTTTCACAACAAAATACTAGAGTAGTAGGAGAGGGAATGCTAGCTGAGCTCACTCATAAGAGAAAGAAAGAAGAACAAATAGAAGAAGAGGAAAGCGTCAAGAAATTTAGGGTTTTGCATCAGAAAAGCTCTCATGCCATATAAAGTGATTGTGAAGTGTGAACTGAGACTTTATTAATCACATAAGGGTTCATATATCTCTACATAACGTAGAAGATTAAAACTATAGATACGACAAGATCTTTATAAATATACAACACTACCATATCCATACTAACACTTGGAAATTTGGTTGACTATGTTAGGAAAGCCTAACACAATGACAATGAACCGAGAAAGACACATACCCGAAACTATTTATATAGGAAAATTGCAAAATCATCATATAATATAGTCCAGAAATTGAAATAGGAAGAGGTTTAGATTACATAATTAAACTGGATAAACTAAAAATATAAGACATAACACAAATCAAAGATTTGTGACTGAGAGAGAAGTCATGAGAACAACATCATCGGTAAAGACGAAAGAGATATAACATTGTTGGCATTGTCGTCTTCGTCCAAATAGATGCTGTCTAGAACTGCTTGTGATCCATCCAAGGAAAATTTGTTTCCTCACCATACTTCATCATCTGTTCAATGAATCCTTGGTCTTGAGTTCCATCATGATTCTGGTTTGGATATTGAAACTCATCCTGAAACATAATTGGCATAACATTATTAATGCGTGAGAGTTATTAATCACAACTATACACTTGATTTTTCAATCAGTGGTTACATTAACATTTTCTAGTAATAAAAATTGAATTAAAAACTAGCAACAAATTGTTAATTAGTAGGAGAATTAAGACCCAAACCTGATTCACTGCTGGGATGTAAACTTCTTGATTGTTACTTATCTGCAAATCAATATCAGCTGCTCCTTGGTTGGTCTGCAAATATTTGGTTAGTTCATGAGAGTTAAAGCATATGATAAAACTCATGTAACCTATGATTTAAATTACATGAAATAACCACAACAAACAAACATGATTCATGTATATTTCACAAAAAATAATCCAAATCATATACAAGATTCATGTATATCTCACAAAAATAATCCAAATCATATTCATGTATGAGTTCCAAGACTATGTAAAGGAGGAAAAGAACTCACTTCCGCCATAGGAGGTGGTGGTGCCATGACCGGGACATAGGATGGCACCATATGCCTTGAAGAAGACTCTCCAATTTCAAAATCCGGATTCTTGAGAGTTACATCCCTATGATAATAAAGATTCTTAAGATACTTATCAACAAACTCACACAATTCACGACGATCTTTATTGTTCATGTCGGGGTCTCCCATCTTCCCTCCTTCAAGACACTTGAACATGGC